CATGAGACTTTCTTATTCGATTTTGCAAAATCGGGCGCCAAATCCAGAAGACAAGGGCAGACATGTGGTGCAGCCGGTTTGCAAAGAATTTTGTCTCCTAGTCTGAGAAAGTCGTCTCCTGGTTCCTCATTGACTGAGTACAATGGGATTAACAATCTTTCCTGGACATAGCCCACTCTCCTTGATGGTTGCATTCTTATTTAAAGTTTCTAGCCTTCCAAACAAGTTCCATCCCCCCACTCCCGCCCCCACCATGAGCTTCCATGGTTACACTAGTTAGCAACTTCCTGGAATCCCTTCACTCCTGAAGATGGACCATCCTAAGAGTTAGTCCTCACATTACCTCCCTGTGTCTTCACCTGTCTTCATTATTCTTCTGCCAACCTCCCTCTTCTTGTATATTGCCCTCCCCATCACCCGAGTCCTGGTGTGGCGCTGTGGCTTAATGTACCAGACTGCAAAGCAGTTTGAACTGCAAGGTTGGTGGCTCAAGCTCACCAGTCACTCCTCAGAAACCCTGTATACCATCACCTTGGGTCAGAACCACTTAACAACAACATCACCTGAGAAAATGTGTGTCTACCTTTTAGCCAGTAAATTACTTTCCTTTCCCTCTCAACCCTAGCAACACCAAAGAATATTTATTTTTAGCATGGAAACTTTTTCTTGATGTTTTGGGTTTTTAAAAAAATGTTTTATTGTGAATTATGTGATAGTTTACATGGGAGAACATTAGTTTTACATTCATCCTATCGTATATCATTTAATTGCCATGGTTACAATCCCCTCCATGCATCATCAACCAACCAAAGGGTATACCCTACAAGCCTGCCCCCTGGTCGTCAGCACACAGCCCCTCTCCCTCTCTGGGTCTAAAGGCCCCAGCCACTCCATCTCTCCACGTCATCGTCTCTGCCTCCATCTCTGGCATCATTGCTTCTCTGGGTAGGGTCTCGCTCTCTGCTCTTCTCCCTTGATGGGGACCTCTGCTCCTAGACTGCAAAGTCAATCACTCCCCTCCTTTTGCTACAAAATGTCTACCTTTACGTTTCCAACCCTTCTTGAGTTTTTACAATAGTGGTCTCATACAATAGTTGTCCTTTTGTGATTGACAGATTTCACTCAGCATAATGTCCTCCAGGTTCATCCATGTTATGAGGTGTATTGCAGATTCGTCATTATTCTTCAACATAGCACTGTTGCATGTTAGTCCATTGTGTGTATGTATAACAACGTTTGTTTATCCATTCTTCCATCGATGAGCATTTAGGCTGTCTCCATGTTTTTGCTATTGTGTATAGTGTGCTGTGATGAACGTCTGTGTGCTTATATCTACACGGGTCACGACTCTTATTTCTTGTAGATCTATATCAAGTAGAGGGATTGCTGGATCATATGGTGTTTCTATTTCCAATGTTTTCAGAAGAGCCATACCATTTTCCACAGTGGTCACACCATTTTAGAGTTCCACCTGAAGCTACTGTTTCTTTTATTTTTTAAAGCTTTTTTTGGTGTGAATTAAGTGATCATTTACATGGGAGAAATGGCATTGGTTTTGCACTCATCCTATCATATTTCATTTCAATGCAGTGATTACAATCCCTTCCATGCACCATCATTCAACAGTATTTGCTTCAATTCCTTCTGGTTTTTTTTGTAGTTGTTGTATACAAAAACACTCAGGAACATATAATAATTTAACAGCCAAAAGGCACATTCTGCAAGCCTGCCTCCTGGCCCCCAGCACATAGCCTTTCTCTTTCCCTGAGTCTAGAGTCTTCAGCTGCTCTCTCTCTCCATGTCCTCATCTCTGAAGCTACTGTTTCTTGACAAAACCTCCATCTAGGTCTACATACTTCTGAAGGCAGTGTCTCCATCTCTCTGTGCCTTCACTGAAGACTTCTGCACTGTTCAATTTATACCAAATCAAAAATGGCAGTTTGGGCATCCTCACAGACTCACATTGTGTTCTTTTTAAAAAGCTATTTGAGTTTGGGGAACAAAAAGAAGTTTGAAGGGTAAGGTTTCGATGACATTCTCATAGAACAGCCCATGTTTACCTCAAAGAATGAACAGGTGCACTGTTGTGATGGGGAAATAATTCCTCTGCACAGCTTTTCTGGCCTTTTTCTCACTAATGCAGTTTTAAAATATCTTCATAATAAACCCCCTTGATTGTCCTATCTAGCTTAATATAATCTATCAATGTTTCCCATTGGGAGTCCCAAACAGCAGTTGTTGTTGTTGTCAGGTGCCATCGAGTCAGAACAGACTCATAGCGACCCCATGCACAGCAGAACGAAACAATGTCCGATCCTGGGCCAACCTCACTACCGCTGCCACACTTGAGTCCATCAATGATGCCACCTGGCTGATCCATCTCATGGGGGTCTTCCTCTTTTTCTCTGACCCTCCACCTTACCCAGCATGACATCTTCTCCAACGATTGTTTCCTCCGGACAATATGTCCAAAGTAGGAGAGACGAAGCTTAGCCATCCTGGCCTCCAAGGAGCACTCTGACTGTACCTCTTCCAAAACAGATCTATTGGTTCTTTTGGCAGTCCATGGCACTTTCAGTATTCTCCTCCAACACCACAACTCAAAGGCATCAATTCTTCTACGATCTTCCTTATTCACTGTCCAGCTTTCGCATCCATATGAGGTTATTGAAAACACAATGGCCTGGGTCAGGCGCACCTTAGTCCTCAAGCTTACATCAGCAGTAGCCATAGCTTTCTGAGGTGACCCTCTGCCTTGAATTTGATTGGCCCTGTAGCCTCTCTTGGAAACCATTGTTTTGATTGGATCTTACTTTTTCTTTTTTTGACAGCACCTTAACAAGACAAAGATGAGTGCATTTCTGAGAGAACTTGTCTGTAGTCATCCACTGATCTCAGAGACATGTTTAAATGTGTCTTGTTTGGAATAAACCTGCGTGTGTGAAATGGACCCCTAGTAATACTTTTGGACTACACTTAGTACACAGTATTGACTTGGGGTATTTCCCATCTATCTCTTCCATCTGAGGGGAGCCTGGCTGCAGAAAGCAATGAGGGATTTTTGTGTTGAGTGCTGAGAGTAGGAGGGGGCATCCTCTCTGGGGTCAACCAGGATAGACCCCAAGCTTAGAGGAAGTTAAGGCCAGAGTCACCCCTAAAGCTAACCTACAATTCTCTGACACCTTGGTTTGCCATCACTGTTTTTGTTTCAAGAATCCCTGTATCCCCTTCCCTCCAGACTTTATTTCCCTTGAGGACCTAGCAGCCTCCTCCCCCTCAGACCCCTGGGGATCCAGGCTTTCCCCCCACCCCTTGCCACCCAGCTTCCCTGGGACCACCCCAGAGCTTGTTTCTTGTTATCTCTGACTTTTATCCAGTCTCCTGTTTACTCACCTCATTTTCCTGGTTGACTTTGGGTTCTAGTTAACTTCAAACCTTTATCTTTCTCTCTGGGAACTGCCCTGGATGGAGGTGCTGCCAGAGTCCAGGAGAGAAAAGTCTTCAGCCACCCTGGTCACCCAGAGACCCAGGCCTTGGTGATAAGAGAGGAGGAGCCCTGGGGGCAGCAGCTGTAGAGGTGGGGTCTGGAGGAGATCAGGCTCTACAGCTGCTGGTTCCAGGGGAGACTCCCCAGCAAACAATGAACCTCAGAAGTTGGGAGGAGGGAAAAGGGCAAGGTCAGGCCAGCCCCTCAGAAGGAGCTGACTTCATCTCAAAAGCCTAACCTGCCTCTCAGCTATCTCGTCTTTGCTCCCCTGTACAACCTGGAATCCCACGGCCTACCTCTGGAGACACAGAGTCATCCCTAATCTGATCTGTCAGTATCTTCTGAGGACAGAAAGAAACAAAGAAACACACAAAGAAACAAAGCAAAAACTCTCCAGGAAGAAGCACCTGGATATTTGTGTGCAACCAAGAATCAGGGACCTCTAAGCGTTGGCCCAGGATCGGACATTGTTTCGTTCTGCTGTGCATGGGGTCGCTCTGAGTCGGTTCCGACTCAATGGCACCTGACAACAACAACAACAAGCTTCACACACAGCCCAGCCCCTAGTCCTATTCTGCTCCCTACCATATATACAAGGTTTACAGAGCACCCTCTGGTAAGAATTAAGCCCAGCTAGGCTAGCTCTGTTGTACCCATTTCACAGATGAGATCAGACCACCAGCCTGATTCAGGGCCTCAGATTTCTGCCCCATCCCTAGAAACTTGCCCCATAGTATTGCCTGGAAACAGGATGTAGGTGGGTGGCTGAGGACCAGGGGTCGGCTCCTGGGGACTGGGGAGCCGCCAAGACCCGGATGTGGGTCCTTTCTGTTATTCCTGGCAGAAGTCAGAGGAGGGAACCCAGCCAGTCTGTCAGCAAACAAGACTAAATGGCAACTCCTACCACCCCCCACCCTCCCAGGGACTCCGGACCCTAGCACCCTGCTCCCCAGCTGTCTCCCTCAGGGACACCACCCTCCCAGGACTGAAGTTGCCAGCAGCTCTCTGGATACAGCCACCAGCTGTTCTCACTCTCCTCCCAGGGTTCAGGCATCCAGGTGAGTTCCCCACCCTTGCCAGACCCTCGGGCTCCTCAAGTTCCTGAAATCAATAGCCTCTCCGGGAAGTTGGCACAATCCGCCTGGCAGGTGACCCAGGGTGTGGCCTGAGGGGTCAAGAAACCGACTATAAAGCCCGGCCCACAGGTTAGCCCTACAGCTCCAGGAACCTTGCAGGTGAGAGATGGAACCTACTCTTGACCCTGGTTCTAGGCTTCCCTTCCCTATCCCCAGACTCCTGATAGCCAGCTCCCCAACCTTGCCCCTGTATCCTGCCCTCCTGCCCCCACCTCAGATCCCTCCACAGCCAGATCCTCACACGTACACTTGAATCTATTACCTAACTTCCCTCCCCATGTCAGCCCACCCAGGGGGTCCTTGTCAGGAGGCTAAACCGCTCAGTCCTTTTGGGGACACTGTCTCCATGGGGCACCTCTCTCTTTCCCGCTACAGACATGGGTTTCCTGTGGAGCTGGTGGATGCTCTGGGCCGGAGCAACCCTCCTGTGGGGTAAGTCAGACCAAGATCCCATGTATGTCCTTGTCCCAATCCTGGGAACTGTGCCTCCTGTTGTGCCCTCTCCACAAACTTATCTCCATAGTATCACCCCAGGTGAGCTAAGATGGTTGAGAGACCTCTTTGATAATGCAGAGAAATGTGGTGGAATCCCCCGGCCCCCCCCCCCATTCTCTCTCTGCTCTTGAGAAAGAAAATCATAGACAATAAATTCCAGTGTGCAAGAACCATGCTCTTGGTTTTCTACAATTTACTAAACTTTTGACTCTGAGTCTTCATTCTACTGGGGATATAGGAAATTTCATTAAAGTCATTCTTAGAGGACTTTGTTCCCAATTCTCCTAGGGTTATGACCATGCCTAGAATCTCAGGTAACCACTGCCATCGAGTCAGCTTGGACTCATGGCGACCCTGTGGATGTCAGAGTAATCTGTGTTCCATAGGGTTTTTAATGGTTGAATTTTTGGAAGATGAGCACAAGACCTTTCTTTGAAGGTGCTTCTGGGTGGACTTGAACCTCCAGTCTTTCAGTTAGCAGTCCAGCACTTAACCATCTGCAACTCTCAGGGACTTAGGTAGAGTCGAAGTACAGGGGCTGGGGGAGAAGGAGATACCAGAACCTTCTAGACACTAACCAACATCCATCTGGATTGTTTTGAATGTTCCTTGTTCCTGATCCCCTGACCTTCTGAAACACTGGTATATCTTTTTTTTTTTTTTTTTTGATGGAGTCATAAGTATTATTTTTGCTAAAATGTAATCTATCAATCAGCTGCATGTACTTACTGACATGTCCAAGAAAACAAAATCACAATTTTAAAAGCGTCATATTGTTAGCCTTCTTTCTTTCTTTAAAGTTTTATTGTGAACTGAGTGATAGTTTTCATGGGAGAACATCGGTTTTGCACTCAGCTAATCATATTTGGTTTCATTGCAATGATTACAACCCCCTCCATTCACCATCAGTTAATAGTATTTGCCTGGTATATCTTTCAAGACTCCTCTTAGCCATTCTATAACTCCCACAATTCCTTAGATCTTTCCTCCCCCTTGCTCTCAGCCCTGGGGAATCTCTTCTTAGTAGGGGAGTGTTGAGAAGCCCAATCTCCCCTTAGTTTTGAGGCAGTATTATGTCTATACTCCTAAAATCCTCTTTTTCCTTTGCCCTCCTTCACACATACCCCTAAATCTGACAGACATTAAGACAGACATCACAAGCTGCAGCCAGTTTAAGGCCTGCCATTGGCCAAAAAAATTCTCATAAAAATTCAGAGTGTCAGCTTCTCTTGAACACTGGGAAGAATTGTCATTAAAAAAAAAAAAAAAAAAAAAAAAAATTAGCCCGTAATCCTTCATCAAGAAATAGTGTAGAGTTAGCAGTAACCTTGGGCAGTGTAAACAGGTAATGTGTGCACTGCTAACTGAAAGGTTTGAGTCCACCCAGTGGCACCTCAGAAGAAAGGCAATATAGTTTTGAAAGACTAGCCATTAAAGTTGTGATGTGGTACTGCAGGATAATGAACTGGACCACAAGGTGAGTTGCACGACAAGGTCGATCGCTAGGGGTTGGAACCTACTAAAGAGCACTTAACAACAACAAGCCACTGAAAACCCTGTGGAGTACGTGACACATTCATGATGTCGCCAAGAGTCTGAGCTAATTCAACAATCACTCTGGTGAAAGTAGTAGCAACCCACTTGAAGTGGGATACGAGTGTCCGCAACTCCAAGTCCCCACCAGAACTGATTCACCCATGAATATTATTTGCTTGGTCCCCTCTGCATGTGAAGAGCTCCCCTCTGTCTAAAGTGTTCAGCTTTTTGGACACCAAACCCCAGAAAAGTTCAGAGGTAACTTCTGAATGAAGAAAGAAAAGAGGGAAAAGCCCACATGAATATTTCAGTAAGAGCCCTGGCCACACTGTGATTTAGGTTACTAACGGCAAAGTCAGTGGTTCAAATCCACCAGCCGCTTTGCAGGAGAACGATGCCACTGTCTGCTCCCCTAAAGATTTAGTCTCAGAAACCCTCTGTAGGGTTGCTATGAGTTAGAATCGACTCGATGGCAGTGTGTTTGCGGGTTGCTGTTGCTTATTCAGGCAGGGGGTCAGCTCCCTGATGCAGGGTAAGTGGACCCTCAATTGCATTTTCTCACCCCAGGGTTGACCCAGGAGGCCTCAGTGGGCCCCAGAACCACTGGCGGGGAGGACTTCCTCACTGCTTTCCTGCAGAACTATCAGCTGGGATACAGCGTGGCCAACCTACGCCTGCTCATCTCCAGTCTGTCCGAGAACCCTGCCTCGGTCTCCATCCTCAACCGGGCAGACAACACCTCGAAGAAGATCACTGTGAAGCCCGGGCAGTCAGTCATGGTCAATATCAGCTCCAGGGCTGAGATCATTGGCACCAATATCTTCCAACGTGCAGTGGTGGTGCACTCAGACCGCACCATTTCTGTGCAGGCCCTCAATGTCAAGCCCAACACAGCAGAGGTGACTGTGCTGTGGCCAGTCAGTGCCCTGGGCACCAATTACTTTGTGCTCACACCGCCAGGTGCCTCAGCCAAGAATCTCAAGGAGTTTGCTGTGGTGGCGGGCGCTGCAAGTGCCTCGGTCAGTATCCACCTGAAGGGGGCAGTGACGTTCCAGAACAAGTTCTACCCAGCGGGCAGTGTCCTGAGCATGACTCTGGAACCCTTTGATGTGGCTCAGATACAGAGCCAGGCTGATCTCTCAGGGTCCAAAGTCACATCCACTAGTGCCGTGGCTGTCTTCTCTGGCCATAGCTGTGCCCAGAAACACACAAACTGCAACCATGTGGTAGAGCAACTGCTGCCCACATCCTCCTGGGGCACCCGCTATGTGGTGCCCTCTTTGGCTTCTCAGGTCCGCTATGATATGGTCTACGTTGTGGCCAGCCAGACCACAAAGCTGACCTACAACCATGGGGGCACCGCTGGTTCCCGTGGGCTTCAGTCTGGTGATGTGGTGGAATTTGAGATCCGGCCATCCCGGCCACTGTATCTGACTGCAGACGTGGGCATTCAGGTCCTGCTGTTTGGCACAGGTTCCACAAAGGGTAACATTACCTATGACCCCTACTTAGTCCTGGTCCCAGACGTGGCAGCCTACTGCCCTGCCTATGTGGTCAGGAGCGTGCCAGGCACTGAAAGTTTGGCCCTGGTGGTGGCGCCGACAAAGGCTGCTCAGGGGCTGACCATGGACGGACAGACACTAGGAAAAAAGGCCACCTGGGTAGCTGTGCCCGGCAGCGAGTTCTCATATGCTGAGGTGGACCTCGGTACCGCTGACAAGCTCCACATGGCTGAGGCCACCACTGACTTCGGGCTGTTCGTCTTCGGGCTGGCTGAGGCTATGGGCTTCGGGACATCAGCTGCCTGCGGCCGGAGTGAGTGCTGGGAAATAACTCCTGTCCCTGGCCACCTGGTGACCCCTCTGCAGCCTCTCTTTTTCCCTTTCCACTCCCCTCTGGGGTTTTCTGGCTGAGCGGGGGCTATCCACCTTCATCTCCCTCCTCCCTGTCCTCCTTCTTCAAGGAGGACATCTCCTAGCCTCCCCAACCCTCCCAGTGTGACCCAGGGCACCAGCCAGTCAGAAGAGACATCAGACAGAGCCCTGTAGTGGGCTCCCAGAAGTCCCGGCAGAGTCCAGCATCACCCTTCAGATTTTGGTTTGTGGGGAGACTGGAAAACGGTCCTAGGGGTCAGCCAGAGTGCCCAAAAGGGGGATGTCTGCGGAACTCAGGTCAGCAGCTTCTTTCCTGTCACTTTGAGAATATTTTGTTATTATAGCAACTGATATACTTATAATGGAGCCCTGGTATGGTGCTGTAGGATCAGCATAGGACTGCTAACCACAAGGTTGGTTCGAACCTACCAGTCACTCCTTGGGAGCCCTATACAGAGTTGCAATGGGCCAGAATTGACTCAACAGCACATAACAACAGTTATAACAAATGATAACTATTGCTTCCCTTTATCCCCACATTCAATAGGACCGTCCATGCCAAATTGAGGTGATCTAAAAGTACAATGGGTAGCGTAGTGGTTATGAATCGGGCTGTGAACCATAAGGTCAGCGGTTCGAAACTACCAGCTGCTCCGCGGGAGAAAGATAAGGCTTTCTACTCCCGTAAAGATTTACACCCTCGGAAACCCTGTTACAAGGTCGCTATGGGTCGGAACCGACTCGATGGCACTTAACAACAACAACAAAAGTACAATAATTATCATGACTACTATGGTAGTCCTGGTGTGGCACTGTGGGTTAATGTGCTAGACTGCAAAGTCATTTTGAACTTCAAGGTTGTTGGTTCAAGCTCACCAGCCACTCCTCAGAAACCCCATACAGGGTCACTATGGGTCAGAACTGACTCAATGGCACTTAATAATAACAACACCATGGTGTGGGTGGCGTTTCTCTCAATATACCAGGGATTGGGCATACACATGTCTTAATATAGTTAATCTACAAGATCCTGAGCTACTGTACATGGTCTCAGGCCTGTTGGAGAACTCCCACCAGGTAGTGCAGTGGGCATTTTGAGGGCACAAATACTAGGGCCAGAGTGCTGAGGTTCAAATCCAAGCTCTGCTTGTGTGATCTTAGGCAAGTGACTTCATTTTTCTGGGACTCAGTTTCCACATCTGGAAAATGGGCATAGTAATTGTACCCACCTCATAAGGGTTGGTATATGGAAAGTGATTGGTGATGGAGCTTGTGATGTTTATATACCATGGAGTCGGTTCTGACTCATAGCAACCCTGTACAGGGTTTCCATGGCTGTAAATCTTTACAGAAGCAGAAAGCCTTATCTTTCTCCCATGGATCGGCTGGTAGTTTCGAACTGCTGACCATGAGATTAGCAGCCCGACTCATAACCACTATGCTACCAGAGCTCCTTATAGAAAGTGATTAGGGCTATATAAAGGTGAGCGAAGGAGTCGTGGTGGCACAGTGGGTTAAACATTGGTCTGCTAACAGAAAGATTGGAGTTCAAAACCACTGGGGGCTCTGCAGGAGAGAGATGAAGCTGTTTGCTCCCACCAAGATTTACAGACTCAGAAACGCTATGGAACAACAGTTCCTCTCTGTCCAGTAAGATTACCGTAAGACAGAATCTACTCAAAAGCATTGCAGTAAGTGTGAGCTATTGGGTTAGGCGAGGGTTTTGAAGACTGGAAAGTAGATGGAGGAAGGGTGGCTTTCTTCCTATGTGAACCTTCCCCTCAAAGTAGAAACCAAGACATTGGGGTTCCCAGTACAGGCAAAACTATTACCCCTCAAGGGTCTTGAAAGCCTCAACTTTAAGGGGTCACTTTGGGCTTGATAGTGAGGGCAAACCATGTCAAATGGAGATTGTTGTTAATTGCTGTCGAGTTGGTTCCTTCTCTTAGCAACCCTGTACAGGGTTTACGAGGAGTGGCTGGTGAGTTTGAACCACAGCTCAAACTGACCTCACAGTCCAGTGCTTATCCTACAGTGAAACATCAGGGCTCCAATTATAATGATTAACACTCAGTTAACATCTGAGTTCAGTTCCAAACTCTGCTTATATTGTTGTTGTTGTTGTTAAGTGCTATTGAGTCCATTCCAACCCATAGCGACCCTGTACAGGGTTTCCGAGGGTGTAAATCTTTACGGGAGTAGAAAGCCTCATCTTTCTCCCATGGAGCAGCTGGTAGTTTTGAACCACTGACCTTAAGGTTCGCAGCCCTATTCGTAACCACTACGCTACCAGAGCTCCTTGCTATATTAACACATTTAAATCAGACAACATCCCTGCCTCCCCCCCAAAAATATTTTTATGAAGAAGGTTTTATTATCTACCCATATTACAAATGAGGAAGTGGAGCCACAGAGGATTTAAATCGCTTGTCCAAGGTCACAAGGCTAATTGGGGGAGACAGGGTTCAAACCTAGGCAGCCCTACTTCACCATGGTTCCCACTCATCTTCCACTTTCTGCCCTTAAAAAGAAAATCCATATTCCCAGGTGGGGAGAAAAGAAACAGAGAGAGAACCAACACAGATGAACATTTCTCTGATGATTCTTAAGGCACCCTGGTGGCACAGTGGGTTATGCATTGAGCTGCTAACCACAAGGTGGGTGTCTGAAAACTACCAACCATTTGGTGGGAGAAAGACAAGGCTGTCTGCTCCCGTAGAGATTTAGTCTCAGAACCTGAAGGAGTAGTTCTGTCCTACAGGCTCTCTGAGTACAAATCATCGTGATGACATTAAGTTAGGGGAGTCCTGGTGTGGCATGGTGGGTTCATGCACTGGACTTCAAAGTCAGTTTGAACAGCAAGGGTCACACTCACCAGCCACTCCTCAAAAATCCTATGCAGGGTTGCTATGGGTCGGTACCGACTTAACAACATACAGCTAATATAAATAACAGCCCAGATGGTCCCTAGCTGTCCTTCCTCACTGCCTTCTTGCTTCTCTGGGCTAAGCTGAGCTGAACTGCAGAAAAGAAAATGTGTAATCAGGTGATCAGGAAACCAGGTTGAATCAGACCCGAGGCAGCTCTTACCCAGTGAGATTCCAAACTTCAATTTCCCTACTTTTAAAATGAGCAATTCTGAGAGAGCTGCCCAAACTCCCCAGGGAGAGAGCACCAGAATTACCACACACACCCTGAACACACATACACGCCACACACACTGACACATATACACTGACTCCCCACCACACACACACACAAACACACACACACTCTAACTCTTTCCCCCTCTCCTCCCTCCTAGCCCTGCTGCCAGTGGAGTCGTGTGAAGACTTGACGTGCAAAGCTGGGCAGCGCTGCCAGGTGGTGGACGGGAAGGCCAAGTGCGTGACTGAGTCCCTGGCCACCTGCAGTGCCCAGGGTGACCCCCACTACACCACCTTCGATGGCCGCCGCTATGACCTCATGGGTACATGCACGTACACGTTGGCAGAGCTGTGCAGCACGGACGACAGTCTGCCGGCCTTCAGCGTGGAGGCCAAGAACGAACATCGCGGCAGCCGCAAGGTCTCCTATGTGGGCTTCGTCACCGTGCGCGCCTATAGCCACTCCGTGTCACTGGCCCGCGGGGAGGTTGGCTTCGCCCGGGTGAGTGTCCGCAGCCCAGGAGCTGTCCCAAAGCCAGACTCTCTGGTGCAGAAGCCACATAGGGAAGTAGGTCATGGGAGGAGGCAGGCCCCTTCATCCAACAATTCCCCTTTCAGAAGTCCTATGCGCCGAGATTCTATACAAGGGACTTCCAAAAGTCTGTGGGAAAGTGGAATGAAAAGAATGGGATTTTCCCTTGAACTTTTTTATATGTATGTATATTTTGTTGTTGTTGTGATGTGCCGTGGAGTCGGTTCCGACCCATAGCGACCCTGTACAGGGTTTCCGAGGCTATAAATCTTTACGGGAGCAGAAAGCCTCATCTTTCTCCTGCAGAACAGCTGGTAATTTCGAACTGCTGACCTTGTGATGTTAGGGATTGCCATTTAAAATAGGATGTTGTTGTTGTTGTTGTTGTTAAGTGCCGTCGAGTCGGTTCCGACCCATAGCGACCCTGTACAGGGTTTCCGAGGGTGTAAATCCTTACGGGAGTAGAAAGCCTCATCTTTCTCCCGCGGAGCAGCTGGTAGTTTCAAACCGCTGACCTTAAGGTTCGCAGCCCGATTCGTAACCACTACATAAAATAGGATAGTCCAAGAAATACGAGCCAGATCACGAGTAGATATATGCGTATATATATATATATATGGAGCTCTGGTAGCGTAGTGGTTACGAATCGGGCTGCGAACCTTAAGGTCAGCAGTTCGAAACTACCAGCCGCTCCGCGGGAGAAAGATGAGGCTTTCTACTCCCGTAAAGATTTACACCCTCGGAAACCCTGTACAGGGTCGCTATGGGTCGGAACCGACTCGATGGCACTTAACAACAACAACATATATATATATATACACCAATGTTCATCACAGTGCTAGTCGATGAGAAAATACATTCTAATTGGCCAACTTTGTTTTTCAACTTTCGAAATGTGATTGGTTCACAAATTAAATTGTTTTTACTATACTTCAGACCTGTTATCAAGATTGAGTAAGCGTTTTTTTAGACTTTTTGTTGTGAATTGGGTAAAGGATTTAATAGTTTTTTGAAGAAAACTTACCACCATTGATTACTTTGTTTCATTAGGAAAATATTATTCCAAGTCCTAAAAACTAGTTTAGAAATGAACTTTTGGAACACAGTCTATACTTGGACTGCTCATCTAGAACACCCATAAGTAAATTGGTAAAATAGGTTTCTTCTATGTTGTTTTCCAAACCTGTTCCATCATGTGTATCCTCTGGGTGGGTATCTTGTGAGAAAGATTCCTAGGTCTCTAAGTCACTAGATTTGAGGTGGAGCATGAAACTTTCAGTAAGAGCTCCAAGGGATTGTTAAGATCAGGCAAGTTTGTAAAAGTATCAGAAAACGTCAGCTTTGTTTGTGTGTGTTAAAAATATATATATAACAGAAAGTTTGTCATTAAAAAAAATTAAAGTGTAAATAAAATACAATAGAATGGGCATGGAAGGCCTTAGAGCAAAGGTTTTGTATGAAGTGAGGGAGTGAGCCCGTGGACATCTTAGGGCCAGAGCATTTCAGACTAGGAGAACCCTAAGAGTAAAGATCCAGCGATGTAACAGGCTTGGTCGGTGGCAGTGACAGAGGAATCCAAATGCATGTGGAGGACAGGTTGCGAATGGGAAGAGATGAGGGGCTGAAGGTTAGGCCACCCAGGGGACTAACCACCCAAACTCATACACATCCCCCCCTTTGTAGATCGACAACCAGCGTTCCCGCCTGCCAGTTTCCTTGAGTGAGGGCCGCCTGCGTGTGTACCAGAGCGGGACACGTGCCATGGTGGAGCTGGACTTTGGGCTGGTGGTCATCTACGATTGGGACTGCAAGCTGACTCTGAGTCTGCCCGTTAACTTCCAAGACCAGGTGTGTGGTCTGTGTGGCAACTATAATGGTGACCCCGCTGACGACTTCCTCACACCTGACTTGGAGCAGGCAGCTGACGCTGTTGAGTTTGGCCAGAGCTGGAAGCTGGATGATGGTGACTATCTGTGTGAAGATGGTTGTCAGGACAACTGTCCTTCCTGTACTCCAGGCCAGGCTCAGCACTACGAAGGGGATCGTCTCTGTGGCATGCTGACCCAGATCAATGGCCCCTTTGCCGCCTGCCATGCTATCCTGGACCCCCGGTCCTTCCTGGAGGACTGTGTATATGACATGTGCGTGGTTGGCGGGGACCGGCCCAGCCTGTGCCGTGGCCTCAGCGCCTATGCCCAGGCCTGTCTCAATTTGGGCATCTCTGTCGGGGACTGGAGGTCACCAGCCAATTGCCGTAAGTGATCCCCTACTAGAGGCTGGGAACACATGGTGGAGGGAAGGAACCCAAGCACTTAATGTGGTTCAGTCTGGTGCTGGACAATGCCAGAACCTGCCTGATTCTGTCTACACTGAGCCTGTCCATCTAGATCAGGGGTGGGGAACTTCTTTTTTCTATCAAGGGCCATTTGGATATATATAACATCACTTAATATACCTTTATGTTGCTATGAAAAAAGCTCCTAGATTTACTGAATTTTGAGTCCTGCTTGCCATTGCTTTGGCAAGGCCAGACCAAATGATTTCACAGCCTTATACAAAGCCCTTGGGTCGGATGTTCCCCACCCCTGCTCTATATAGTGACAGCCCAGAGGGGCAGGAGCTGAGATCGGAGAAGCCCAGAGAAGGTTCATGGCTCAGCCTGGGTGGTCAAGGAGAGTTTCCTAAGAGAAAGGAATGAGACCCATAGGAGGGTTGTAACTAGCCAGAAAGAAAATTGAAGAGGAAGAGGATTTGAGGCCAAGAGAAGAGTACTGCAAAGATTTGGCATGAGAGATAGAGTGGAATGTTCCCAAGCAGAAATCTGAGCATCTTCCTTTGCTTATAACACTTCCACGGCTCACCATTGTTCTCTGGATAAAGTCTAAGCTCCTTAGCCAAGTTTCTATCCACTTAGCCATTTATTCATTCATTCACTTCACTCAACATGCATTGCCTGATCCAGGCCCTGTGATGATGATATGGAGTATATAGTAAGGAACAAGATACACCTGTCCCTGCCCTTGTGGGGTTCCCAAAGAAATGTTCAGGAAGCAGAAAAGAGAAGGGAAGTGGAAGGAAGAGATGTCCAGGTCCAGGCCCAGGGGATCTCTGAAGGGGAATGAGTGTAGGCATGACACAGAGGCCAGTTTGAGTTTGTACTGGTCCCTCTTCAGTAAGCTTCCTCCCACCCCGCCCAGTTCTCCAATGCATGACACAAAAGAAGAACCAGGGAATTAATTCATTCACTCATTCATTTCTACAGTACATACTGTACATATACACAATGCACCAGTGCCCTAAGGAGCTCTGGTGATGTAGTCGGTTAAACATTGGGCTGCTAACCATGAGAATGGTGGTTCAAACCCACCAACTGCCTCTCAGGAGAAAGATGAGGCTGTCTGCTCCTGTAAAGATTTAGAGCTTTTGGAACTCCGCAGGACACGTGTACTTTGTTCCATCAATAGCAGTGGCAGAGGGCAGACTGTGTCCTTGGTGATGGGGATTCATCCAAGATCAAGACAGACAAGTTCACTTATATCTTGGGGGTGGGGTGGGGTTGAAGAGATAGAACAGGTAATTCATTAAGTATCTTTAAAGAGCAAAAAGAATCAAGTCAAGGTCACTTGACTGGAGACTCAGTTGGAGGGGGGATGAGGAAAGCTTCCTGAGTAGGTGACATTGGAGCCAAGACCAGAATAATGTGACGGAGTCAGCTCAGTAGGGAGAATGATGCTTGTTTGATCTTCGCCACGACGCAGTGAGGTTGGCTTTACTAGAATCCTACTTTAGTGATGGGGAAGCTGAGACACCCGGAACTTGAACTTAGGTCGTCTGGGCTCCAGCGGCCTGGCTCTTAACCACATATCAGTATTGTACTGACTGTCTAAGGAAAGGGCAGTACTGACAAACAAAACAGCCAGTGCAAAGGCCCTGAGGTAGGAGGAGCCTGAGGAACAGGGGGGGGTGGTCTATGTGCCTGGAGCAGAGTAAGCAAGGGGGACAATGAAAGGAGATGAGGGCAGAGAGGTGGCTAGGCAGACCCTGGGGGGCCTTTAGGGAAGCGTTGGAGACTTTGGGTTTTCCCCTGAGTGAGGAAAGAGGTGGACGCAGGACAGTGTAGAGATGGGATCTGATGCAGGTGGCCACTCAGGAGTCCCTCTAGTTTCTTGTGGGTAGCAGACTGTGGAGGAGTTGGATCAGGGGGACCACTAGTGAGGGGCCACTGTGGTAAACCGGCCCAGGGTGAGGATCATGCTGAGAGGAGAAGGGGACAGATTCTGTATAGATTTTGAATATGGAACTCATGGAATTGACTAGCAGATGAGATTGGTGGTCCACTGAGTGAGGAGGGAAGGCGAGGCACCGACCTCTTTGAGACCTGAGAGCTGGGAAGCTCTGCGGGAGAAGAGGCGTTTAGGGAGAGAATCACTGGCGCCCAGGCCAAGGAGGCGCCCCTTAAGGCCGGGTCTCTTTCTCTCTTGCCTTCCCCAGCCCTGTCCTGCCCGGCCAACAGCCGCTACGAGCTTTGCGGCCCCGCTTGCCCGGCTACCTGCAACTCTGCAGCGGCGCCCGCCAACTGCTCTGGACGCCCGTGCGTGGAGGGCTGCGTCTGCCTCCCCGGCTTCGTGGCCAGCGGCGGCGCCTGCGTGCCCGTCTCGGCCTGCGGCTGTATCTTCGAAGGCCGCCCTCTAGCGCCCGGCCAGGAGGTGTGGGCGGACGAGGAGTGTCAGCGGCGCTGCGTGTGCGACGGCGCCACCCAACAGGTGCGCTGCCGCGACACTCATGGCTGCCCTGAGGGCGAGCGCTGCGACATCCAGGGAGGCCTTCTGGGTTGCTACCCCGACAGCTTTGGGAGCTGCCAGGCGTCCGGAGACCCGCACTATGTCAGTTTCGACGGGCGACGCTTCGACTTCATGGGCACCTGCACGTACCTGCTGGCCGGCTCGTGCGGTCAGAACTCGGAGCTGCCCACTTTCCGGGTGCTGGTGGAAAATGAACATCGGGGCAGCCAGACTGTGAGCTACACACGGGCCGTGCGCCTGGAGGCCCGCGGCGTGGTAGTGGAAGTGCGCCGGGAGCACCCTGGCCAAGTGCTGGTGAGTGGCGTGGCATTCGGGCTGGGTAGTGGACCAGGGGACACCCCTCTCCAAAGAGCAGAGGCTCTGGACTCTGGGTGGGACTGAGGGTGAACCGGTTTGTTGTTAAGTGCTGTCAGATCGATTCCAACTCATGATGACTCTGTATAGGGTTTCCAACATGTGTTGGAACCACCAACTTTGTGGTTCACAATCCAGTGTTTATCCCACAGCACTACACAGGAGTCCATGGGGAACCAGTAACCAGTGGTTAAGTCCAGGGTCCCCAACTAGGCAGCACTGTCTCTTCTTCGCTGTGTGACTTGGCCTCTTTGGACATCAAAGCTGCCCTCTGTAAAACCAGGATAGTCACAGGGTGATTGGGGGGGTGGCACTGGTAAGTTTATTTGTGTAGGGTATTAAAAAGAGAATTTGGCACCCAGTGTTTAGTAAACATTGTTCCTATTTTGTTATAAAGTCTGACACTGCACACTTGAGCACTTTTCTGGAGAAAAGTGAGGTGACAGAAAAGGTAAGAAGTAAAGGAAATCCTACCTCTAGAGAAACTGGCAGTTGTTGTTGTTGTTAAGTGCCATCGAGTCGGTTCCGACCCATAGCGACCCTGTACAGGGTTTCCGAGGGTGTAAATCCTTACGGGAGTAGAAAGCCTCATCTTTCTCCCGCAGAGCGGCTGGTAGTTTCAAACCGCTGACCTTAAGGTTCGCAGCCGGATTCGTTACCACTACGCTACCAGAGCTCCTTTGAGCCCATTATAGTAATAACAGTGTTGTTAAGTAGCATGGTCCATGATTCAAACCTACTTATGGGGCTTTCTATTCCGGAAAAGAGTTACAGTCTTGGAATCCCTAAGGAGCAATTCTACTGTGTTTTGTAGGGTCTCTATGAGTCAGAATCAACTTGATGGCAGTAAATTTAGTTTTTTGGTTTTTGTTTTTTAAATCCAGGAATAGGGCAAAGCAAGCTCAAAAGCCCTGGGGTAGGAATGCACTTTCAGGGGAACAGCACGGAGGCCAGGGTGACCGGAGTTGAGTGAGCAATATGGTGGGTGATGTAGACACCGGCAGACGGGGGTCAGGTCCAGCAGGACCTTCTAGGTAAGGGCTTCGGTTTAAGCCAAGTCCTGAAGGATGAAGAAGAAGCAGCCAATGAGAGGTGAGAGCTGGTGTTCTAGGCTGCCTTAAGCTTGGTGAGTTCGAGGAATATCAATGAAGCCAGAGTGAGGCAGAGGAGGAGCAGGAGGAGACTATAGGAGGAGACTAGACCAAGGAGGTAATGGGCAGTCAAATCAGGTAGGTTTTGAAGGCCTTGGGTAAGGAATTTGGATTTAAGCTGATCACAAAAGGATGAAGAGTGTTGGATGTGTGCCAGGCCAAGGGAACAGCAAGTGCAAGGGCCCATAGGAACGATGAAGCGTAATGTGCTCAGGAGAAGAGCTAGCAGGCCAGAGTGGCTGGAGCTGAGGGAGAGAGAGGTGGACCACAGAGCTAGGAGCACCCTGACGCCTGTCTCCCTATTTCTACCCTAGGTGGATGGTGTCCTTCAGTATCTGCCCTTCCATGCGGCAGATGGGCAAATCCAGGTGTTCCGCCAAGGCAATGATGCTGTTGTGCGCACAGATTTTGGCCTGACCGTCACCTACAACTGGAACGCCCATGTGACTGTCCAGGTGCCCAGCAGCTATGCTGGGGCCCTGTGTGGGCTCTGTGGAAACTTCAATGAAGACCCAAGTGATGACCTGGCTCTGCGGGGTGGGGGCCAGGCTTCCAGTGCGCTGGCCTTCGGAAACAGCTGGCAGGAGGAGACAAGGCCAGGCTGTGGAGCAACTGAGCCGGGTGACTGTCCCGATCTGGAGTCCCTGATGGCCCACCAACTGCAGAGCAAGAAGGAGTGTGGGATCCTTGCCGACCCTGAGGGTCCCTTCCGGGAGTGCCATGACATACTGGACCCCCAGGGCGCTGTGCGGGACTGTGTGTACGACCTCTGTCTGCTGCCAGGCCAGTCTGGACCACTGTGTGACGCATTGGCTGCATACGCTGCTGCATGCCAGGCCGCTGGGGCCACCGTGTACCCCTGGAGGACAGAGGAGCTCTGCCGTGAGTACCGGAGTGGGGGTGGGGGGCAGGAATCAGCCTTATGTGTATTCATCAACATTAATATCATTATTCATTTAATGACTACAAACAGTCCTATGAGGTAGGGACTTTGGTTATACCCATTTAACAGATGAGGATACTGATACTTAGATAGGTTAACTTTTATGCCCAGGATCACAACTAGGAAGTCATGCAGGAACGTTTCATGTAATGACTGACTACATCTGGTGACTTTGGGTCTGGTTGCCACATGGCGGCTGTCATTCAAAAGTGAGCAGATGGTACTGCCTTAAAGGGGTCTGGTCCCCTCTCCTGTTGTTCTCATGACCTTTGTTGTTGTTGTTAAGTGCTGTCGAATCTCCCCACATGGCCTACTTCACTCAGTTGTATCTGCTTGGCCCCTTGGGCAGTCAGTTTGAAACCTCACTATGGACGTCAACACAGAAGTGCTCTTCAAACATTTGTTGCTTGTCTATAAAAGCTCGAAAAGCCATGCATCCTCAGATCTAATTTTTAAAAAAACTTTAGTTCATGATTGAAATACCAAAAACAGATTCAGAAATGCACTCACAACCTAAATCAAGAGCTTGATGAATTTTCAGCAAAAGATCTTTAGCAGTTCCCCATTTTTAAGTTGACATCTTTAGTTTTTCATCTTAAGTGTCACCAGTTGCAAACGATATAATCTCCAAAAAATGATAACGTTTGACTTGTTAAAATCTTTTTATTATGGAATTTTTGAACATGCTCAAAAAGACAGAGATTCACCTCCTATCCAACATCTAGTTTCCACAATGATCAATGAACTAGTAACCATTTAAAGTAAACTTTTTATTTGACTTAAGCAACTCTCTTAATCATTTCCAATAGCTACACACTTCGTCTCTCATTCTTTGGACATGATATCAGGAGACACCAGTCCCTGGAGAAGTTTGGTACATGTTTGGTACTGTGGAGCGACAGCGAGAAAGAGGAAGACACCTCCCCCCACCAACCAAAGAGATAGAATGACGTAATGGCAGCAGCAATGGGTTAAAATGTACCAATGCTGAAGATGGTGCCAGACCGAGCAGTGTTTAGTTTTGTTGTACATTGGGTCGCTATGAGTCGGAATCCACTCGACAGCACCTAACAACGAAACAGACAGCAGTACACACAACTATTAGTAGTTCATTAAAAAGTATGCATGATAAATAGATGACTCTCACATCAACCCTTTTCTTCCTTTAGCTTATGTTCATTCATCCAGTAAATATTTAATGAGCACTTACTGGATTGCAGGCACTGTCCTAGGCACGGGGGATAGAGTATGGGACAAAACAGAAACTGCTTGGCTCACGTTTGCTAATGCCTCATTGGATAAAGCGAGAGTGGTAGCCACGCCCAGAATCAAGGGATAGTCATGGGCAGTTTATCACATAGGCAAGGCACTCCTTGGTTCCTAGACATTCCTTGGTGTTACTTGTCTTCCCCATGTACAAGTGTCTCTGTGTCTATTCTGGTCTTTTTGAAAGAAATAATTAGGCTTAGGATCCAGTCTACACTGGTATGGCCTCAACTGATGACGTTCTATTGCACTGTGGAATGTGATTACATTACATTACATTGCATTGCTGAAGGCCATTATATTACATTACATTGCACTGCTGAAAGTGATTACATTAATACATTATATTGCATTGCTGAAAGTGATTACATTACATACATTATATTGCATTGCTGAAAGTGATTATATTACATTGCATTATGTTACATTATGCTACACTATGCTACCTTTTGTCATGATTATTTCATTATTTTTGTTATTTTATGTTACATTTGTTGTTGTTAAGTGCTGTCAAATCTGTTCATAGCGACCCTGATTAGGATCTACCCAAGGCCAGCTGTTTAATCACATGCGACTATTCCGTGGCAGCAACTAGACTAGTATTTGGCTAACAACTGGAAATCATAGTTTAGTCAAGTTAACACATAAAATTCATCACTATAGGCAGCTACTAGGTACATGTGGCTATTGAGCACTTGAAATGTTACCTGAAGTGTACCTGAGGAACTAAGTCTTACTTTAACTTAATTTAAATAGCCACAAGTGGCTAGTGGTTACCGTATTGAACAGATAGAGGCTTGATTGGGTTCAGGGGTAGCTTTGTTGTGCTGTTTGAGGGAAACATTGATTGTATACGCTGGAGGAACTGGAATTTGGGGAGGGACAGAGATTTTTAATCTGATGGCCTCTCTCCCTGCAGCACCGAGCTGCCCACCCAACAGCCACTATGAGGCATGTTCCCATGGCTGTCCACTGTCCTGCGGAGACCTCCCAGTGCCCGGGGGCTGTGGCTCGGAGTGCCACGAAGGCTGTGAGTGTGACGAAGGCTTTGCGCTGAGTGGCGAGTCCTGCGTGCCCCTGACTTCCTGTGGTTGCGTGCACCAAGGCGTCTACCACCCGCCGGGCCAGACCTTCCACCCTGGCCCAGGCTGCGAGTCTCTCTGCCGCTGCCAGGAGGACGGCCAGGTGTCCTGCGAGCCCTCCATCTGCGGCCCACATGAGGCCTGTAAGCCATCCAATGGCGTTCTGGGCTGCGTGGTTGTGGGCTCAGCCACCTGTCAGGCATCAGGAGACCCCCACTACACCACCTTTGATGGCCGCCGCTTTGACTTCATGGGCACCTGCGTGTACTCGCTGGCTCGCACCTGTGGAGCCCAGCCCGGCCTGGAACAGTTCGCTGTCCTGCAGGAGAACGTGGCCTGGGGCAATGGGAAAGTCAGTGTGACCAAAGTAGTGACTGTCCAGGTGTCTAACTACACCCTGAGGCTGGAGCGGAGCAAATGGAAAGTCACGGTGAGGCAGGATGGAGGGCAGTCTGTGGGAGGGATGGGTAGCAGCGTAGCTTGGGAGTAGAGGCACAGAGCTCAGAGCATTGAAGGCATGCAGTCCCCGAGGATAGGAGGAGCCTGGCAGAGCCTGGAGTGGAGATCCAAAGAGGGAGGAGATCTCAGGACCTGGACCTAACCCCAAGTGGCTCAGTCTCCCCTCAGGCTCCTCTGGTCTCCCCTCAGTCTGCCTCTCAGTTTCCTCTCTCTTGTCCCCCCATCTCTCCTTTCTATGTCTCCTGGTCTCCCCTCTCTGTGTCCTTTATTCTCCCCTTCTCTCAACCCCTTGGTCTGTTGACCATGCCCAACTTCATCCTATCCACCTTCTGGGTCCAGATGCCAGAGTCAGCACGTGGTACATTCAGAGGTAGGGAAGGTTCCGGGACAGGAAGGGCCAAGAACAGAGAACAATCTGTGAGTCGGGGTTGCCAACTCCAGCTGATCCCATCACCACCCCGCTCCCCCTTAGCAATGGTAAGCAAGTGACAGCTTTTACAACTGACCTCAGACCCTGTTCGCTGCTAAACATTTCACACCCACAGGCTTATTTGTTCCTCAAAACAGTAACTGGTTCCCAGGACAGTCTGCACGCCTGACCTTGTGCTCATCTGCTGTGCCTTTCAGACCTCATATGGAATCAGCCAGGCATTTTTGTTAGAGTCCTTGTGTGGTACTGGATAAGTATTTGACCACAAGGTTGATTTGAATCACAAGGTTGGCGGTTCAAACTCACAAGTTGCTTCTCAGAAACTCTATACAGGATCGTTATGAGTCCAAAGCAACAGTGTGATGGCTGGAGCTGCGGTTGCCTTGGCAGGGGCCTTATACGGCCTGAGGGTCAGACGTTCCCTACCCTTGCATTAGAGGGATGACCATAAGGAGCACTGGTGATAATGTAGGGTAAGTGTTGGGCTGCCAATCACAAGGTCAGCAGCTCAAAACCACCATCCAGTCTGCAGAAGAAGAGGAGGCTAGCTACTCCCATAAGGATTCATAGTTTCGGTAATGCTATATAGGGTTGCTAAGAGTCAGAATCAGTTCCGTGGTAATGAGTTTGGCTTTTATAGAGTTGGAGTGGGATGACTATAGGGTCTCTATGAGTCGGAATCTACTTCCCAGAGAACCCCATCATCATTGTCCTAGTAGCAATACTGACCAGTAGAGTGTCGATAAATAGCAGACTTATCAAGTGTTTACTATGTGCTGACAGACATGAAATGATTTCATATATTCCCAGATATACCCCCAAGCTTCTAGAATTGTTGTTAAGTACAATTGAGTCTGTTGCAACTCATAGCGACCCTGTATAGGGTTTCCGAGGACTGGCTGGTGAATTTGAACCGCCGGCCTTGTGGTTCAAACTGCCCTTGTGGTCCAGTGCTTATCCTACAGCCCCACACCAGAACTCCAGGCTTCTCGAATAGCGTCTGGTGTATCGTAAGCTTGAAATAGGCTAAAGTTGTCAGTGTTCTTGTCATTTGCATCTCACCGAATCCCCAGCTTCCCTGTGAGATGGAAACCATTAGTTTCTGTCAACCCCAGCTGCGTAGCAACCCAGGCAGGTGACATTAGGGTCAGTTACTACATTATTAATCACCATATCCAACTGTGAATTGTTGGTCATGTTGTTATTCTGTTGAGACCCTGTTTAAACAACAACAACCCAACACCATCAGTTAATTCCAACTCGTTATGACATGGTAGGACAGAGAGGAACTGCTCCTAAGGGTTCCCCAGGCATCTTTAAGGGAGCAGACAGCCTCCTCTTTCTCCACAGAGCAGTAGGTTTGAACCACAGACCTTATGGTTAGCAGTCTGATGCTTAGCCCACAGTGCCTTCAGGGAGCCTTGAGACTCTGTGATTATACCCATTTTACACAGAGGGAAACTCAGGCCCAGAGATGTGAGGCCAGATTTTCAGAACTAGAGGATCTGCCCTTCTGAAGTGTCCCCTCTAAAGCATGGCCTCTCCCACTCGCAGGTCAACGGTGTGGACATGAAACTGCCTGTAGAACTGGACCAGGGCCGGATTCGGGCCTTCCAGCATGGCTCAGACGCCGTGGTGGAGACCAACTTTGGTCTGCGTGTGGCCTATGACCTCAAGTACAACGTTCGAGTCACCATCCCAGGCAACTACCACCGGCAGCTGTGTGGCCTGTGCGGGAACTACAACGGGGACCCCAGTGACGATTTCCAGAAGCCCGATGGCTCACAGACAGGCAGCTCCAGTGAGTTTGGAGATTCCTGGGAGGAGAAGGTGCCCGGCTCGCCCTGCCTGCCACCCCCCTGCCCGCCTGGTGAAGACTGCAGCCTGGGTGAATGTCCTCCCGAGCTGGAGGAGAAGTACCAACAGGAGCAATTCTGTGGGATTCTCACCAAGCCCACCGGGCCGCTGGCCGCCTGCCACAAGCTGTTGGAACCCCAGGGCCCCCTGCATGACTGCGTCTTCGATCTCTGCCTGGGTGGCGGGAACAACAGCATCCTCTGTAGCAGCATCCAAGCCTACGTGAGCGCCTGCCAGGCAGCGGGAGGCCACGTGGACCCCTGGAGGACTGAGTCGTTCTGTCGTGAGTCAGGGGCAGAGATGGGGAGGCCAAGGGGCGGAAGGAGGGACAACGGAGAAGCAAAGAAGGGGGAGGCTGAGGGGAAAGAAGAGAGCAGAAAGATGGGGATATCAGAGGGTATATAGAAGGAGGGATTGAGGGGCAGAGAGGGAGAGACAGGGAGAGGGAGAGAGTTGGACCCTACAGCCTCTCCCCTCTGGGGCTCTGACCTGCACCCCTTTTTTTACAGCGATGGAGTGTCCCCCCAACAGCCACTATGAGCTCTGTGCGGACACCTGCTCCCTGGGCTGCTCAGCCCTCAGTGCTCCCCCACAATGTCCAGAAACCTGTGCTGAGGGCTGCCAGTGCAACCCCGGCTTCCTCTCTAATGGCCAAGATTGTGTGCCCATCCAGGACTGCGGTTGCTACCACAACGGAATCTATTACGACGTAAGTGCCCTGGACTCTGTCCCACGCTCCCCCTGTCCCACCCACTCCTCCCTCTCCTGGATCCAGCGTGTCCGCTCCCACCCAGATCCCTCTCAGCCCCTAGTTTTGCAACCTCCATGGAGCAGTGGGAAAGACCTTTCTAAATGTGACCATGGGTTCTGTAACCGGGCAAAAGTGTCACTTCCTCAGTCCTAACACAGAGACAAGATTATGCCTCTCAGTGACATACCTGTGGTGCTTACTCCCTCTGCTTGCCTCTTCGGCTCACGCACAGTCCTTTTCTATTCACCCGAGTGGGTGTTGTTGGTCTAAAAGCCGTCTGTCCTTTGCTGGGCTGTGAGCTGTGTAGAGGTGGGGTCCTGATGGATGTGCCCTCTGTCCCTGCAGCCAGAACAGACGGTGCTCATCGACAACTGTCAGCAGCAGTGTGTGTGCCACGCGGGTAAAGGTTTGGAGTGCCAGGACCACAGCTGCAAGCCCGGGCAGGTGTGCCAGCCCGTGGAAGGTGTCCTGAGCTGCGTCACCAAAGGTGCTGGGCTAGCAGACGTGGGGACAGGGACTCTGGCACTGAAGGGTGGTGTGTTCTTCATGGTGGGAAGCACAGGTGACTAAAGCTGAGGTCTCAGACCTGGGGACCCACAGGCTGGGTTTCTCAAAGGCAGATAGTCTGAGATGCAGGGACCCTTACTTAGGGCAGAATCTTGGCTGTGGGCTAGGTTTCCAGGGCAGATGTCAGAGCCCCTCCGTGTAAGGCAGGGATAGGCAAACTTTTTCAGTAAAAGGCCTGGTTGGAAATATTGAAGGCTTGCGGGCCATAGGTGTGTGTCATAACTACTCATCAGCAGCATGTAATTGAACCAGCATGGCTGTTTCAATAAAACTTTATTTGTAGAACCAAACAGCCCCACCATAGTTTGCTAAGGAATTAGGCTCAGAGCTTCAGACACCAACATCAAGGGACAGGGGAGACTAGGACTCCTGGGGACAGGGACAGAAAGCAGACTTCTTTGCAAGGCCTTGGAATTCTCTGAGACCCCACCAAGACTGGACCTTGGATACAGGATGCCCTTCAAACCAAGGGTCAGTGATTTCTAGGGGTAGTCTCAGACATGGAGCCCCATGTCTTCCTAGGACTGGTTTCTTAGGATGAGGGGCAGAGAACTTCTTGGAGCTAAGGGAATGGGACCCCCCCCCCCAAACTGAGGGGCAGGAGAACTGAGAGGGTAAGATATGAGGGGCTCCCAGGGATGGGGGTGTCTATAGTCGGGGGTCTAGTCAGGAGTCCTGGTGTGGTGCTGTGGGTTAATGCGCCAGACTGCAAAGCCATTTGAACTACCAGGTTGGCAGTTCAAGCTCACCAGTTGCTTCTTGGGAGCCCTATACAGGGTCGTTATGGGTCGGAACCGACTCAACGGCACTTAACAACAACAGTCAGGAGACAGAGACCAAACATTGACTACTGTGAGTACAACTGAAGACATTTCCATGAATTTCAAAGTACAAATGTGTGTCATAGGGTTTTCAATGGCTGTTTTAGTTTTTTTGGAAGTACAACTCTAGGCCTCTCTTCCAAGGATCCTCTGGGTAACTTGAACCTTCAACCTTTCTGTTAGCAGCTGAGTCTTTTAATCACTTGCACCACCCTGGGACCCCATTATTTGAATCTCCAAACCCAAAGCCAACCTATTGCCTTCAAATGCATTCCAACTCCTAACGAGGACCCTACATAGGGCTCTGCGATGGTCAGTCCTTCCAGGAGCAGGCAGCCTCATCTTCCTCACTAAGAGCGACTGGTAGTTTAGAACTACTGACCTTGCAGTTAGCAGCTCAGTGAGTAACCCACTACACCACCAGGGCTCCTTAGTTTGAATTGTTGTCGTTGTTGGTAAATGCTGTCAAGTCAGTTCTGACTCAACCCTTTATAGGGTTGCCAAGGCTTTTAAATCTTCATGAGAGCAGAAAGCCTCATCTTTCTCCTGTGACGTGACTGGCGGGCTTGAACCACGGACCTTGTGGTTCACAGTCCAGTGCTTATATATGAAGCCACAATGCTCCCTTCTTTTGAATAGAGAAAGATTAACATAAATATTTACTCATAATAGGGGATTTAGTGGGGTATAACGAACGCAACTCACCAGCCAGCCGGTCCTGGGAAACCCTGTACAGGGTCGAAGGAACTTAGCAACAACAGAGAACAAATAAATACAGGAGTAGCAGAGCTGGAGAGCAGTCCCTACCTCCAGAGCTAAAGCAGAGGACCAAAGGAAGGAACAAATTTGGAAGAGGTACCCCACCCACTCCAAGGCTGAGATTCAGACGTCCCTGGAAAGGCTATGGCTGTAGAAGAAAGCCTTGGTGGTCTGCTTCCATAAAGGTTACAATCCAGAACACACTATGGAGCAACTATGTAACTCAAGGGCTCCATTCTACTCTGTAACGCATGGGGTCTTCATGAATTGGAATTGACTTGACAGTAATGCGTTTGGATTGGAGCTAACACCCACACAGGTTCAGCTGAAATTCACTGGGAAACAGCCTGTTGTTAAGTCAGCTGGGGCAGTGGAACTCGCTAAGGGATCGTTGGCCCCTCAAGTAGCAAGAGCAGGAGCGTCAGTAATCCTGGAAGCAGGAAGAGCCCCTGCAATGTCACTTCAGCGCCCTCTAGTGACAATGATTAACACTGTAGGTAGATTTGGAGCTGAGAGGCGAGAAATTAATTGATCCCCTAGACGCAGTGGGAAAGAGAAGGAAGTTTTTAGGCTGGTATCTTGGACAGGGGATTCCAAAAGTTGGGGTGCAGTGATGCCAGAGATAGGACCTTGGACGCAGAGGCCCTCAAGGGCAAAGTCTCAGACATGATACTCCCAGGACCCCCACATACACACCCAAGACCAGGATCTCAGACACAGCCACCCAGGGGTGGAGTCTTGTCCAGCAGTATCCTCAAGTCATGAGACTTAAGACACAGGCACCTCAGAATCTGAATCTCAAGCATGATCAGAGTCTCAGATCTAGGTCCTCGGGGCTGTGATCACAAACAAGGGGACTCTGGTCTGGGGTCTGGGTTTCAGTTGTAGAGACATCTGATGACTGGCTCTTGGATGTAGTGTCTGGTGTCAGACATGGCGGAGATGTGGGTACTGGGTCTCAGGGATGAGGACCCTGAAACCTGGGTGTCGTTTGTAGTAACTCAGCATTTCTGGCATGAACCCAAGCAGGTGCTGGGGATAAGCTGGCCTTCTGTTGGGCAGTCCCTCAAGATCTCCTTTCCTCTGCCCCCCAGACCCGTGCCACGGTGTGACATGTCGACCCCAGGAGACATGCAAGGACCAGGGTGGCCAGGGTGTGTGCGTGCCCAACTATGAGGCCACATGCTGGCTGTGGGGTGATCCGCATTACCACTCTTTCGATGGCTGGGATTTCGACTTCCAGGGCACCTGCAACTACGTGCTGGCATCAACTGGCTGTCCCGGGGTCAGCGCCCAAGGCCTGACACACTTCACTGTCACCACCAAGAATGAGAACCGGGGCAACCCCGCGGTGTCCTTTGTGAAGCTTGTCACTGTGATGACACTTGGCACCAACATCTCCATCCACAAAGGCGAAATTGGCAAAGTCCGGGTATGTCCAGCACTATGGTCATCTGAACGCCATGCCCAGTAAGGGTGGAGGGGTCCTGCCAGTTTAAGGTTCTCTGAGGCCGGAAACAAAAAGGCAACAATAATTACAATGACCCCATAACACTTCCGTTGGGTATTAAATTGAGCCTCATCCTGTCCCAAGGTCTTTAAGGTTGTTGTTGTAATGTGCCATGGAGTCGGTTCTGACTCATAGCGACCCTGTACAGGGTTTCCGAGGCTGTAAATCTTTATGGGAGCAGAAAGCCTCATCTTTCTCTCGTGGAACAGCTGGTAGTTTCGAACCGCCAACCTTGCGGTTTGCAGCCCGATTCGTAACCACTACGCTACCAGAGCTCCTTGGCGTTTAAGGTTGTTATTGTTGTTGTTGTTAAGTGCCGTGGAGTCCCTTAAAATTTGCTTCTTTAGAGAGAGACCTGGATTTGAATCCAGAACTTCCTTCTCATGAGTTGCGTGATCTTAGGAACTGTCCTTGGTAGGCCTTAGTTTTCTCATCTGTGAAATGGGCATTGTGGCCAGGTGGTGGCAGGCAAAGTGGTTAGCTCAGGGTCTGGTCCAGGTAAGCATCTGGTGATTGAAGGAAGGAATAAGCAGCCCAGAGATGGAGATACAGAGAGATATTCAGGGAGATGAGGAAAGAGAGGGAGAGAGCATCCTTTCTGTCCAGGGAAATGGAGAAGGTCCGTGGCAGCTCAGAGGGAGGGAGTACGGTGAGGAGCAGGGTAGACACCCAGTCAGTGCTGAGTGAGTAGGAGAGCCGTGCAGAGACTCGGAGATGCTCAGAGAAGGCACTGAGAAGAGATGTGGAGAGAATGAGTCTGAGAGTGAGTCAGTTGAGATCTATGCAGAGAGAGAACCAGCAAGCAAGATGGACCTAGATAAGGGAGAAACCTAAAGACAGGGAGAACCAGTGTAAAGATGTAGTGAGGGAAAGGGCGAGAAACAGAGGGATGAAGAGACCCAGAAACAGAATGCAAAGTCAATCAGACACACAGACAGACAGAGAGGTGGGAGTGAGAGGGGGCAGAAAGAGAGCTGGACCCAGAGAGAGAGATCCAGAAAAAGAAGAGGGAGGTTTCACTCCCCAGATCCATGTTTTTCAAATGACTACACAGCCATGAAGGAACCCTGGTACCATACTGGGTTACACTTTGGGCTGCCAACCGCAAAGCCCACCAGGCATTCTGCGGGACAAAGATGAGGCTTTCTGCTCCTGTAAAGATTTATTTATGACTTGGAACCGACTTGAAGGCACACAACCATCACCAAACAGCCATCTGTCCGCATAGCTTCTGTCCTGGCAGGATGGTTGGGGATGCAGGGGATCAGAGATGGGGTCACCTCCCTGGAGTGACCCCTGTTGGCATCGCTTTCTCCCACAGGTGAACGGAGTGCTGACCGCGTTGCCTGTCTCAGAGGCTGGTGGGAGGCTGGTAGTGACCCACGGCACGTCCAAGGCAGTGCTAAAAGCAGACTTTGGGCTGCAGGTCAGCTATGACTGGGACTGGCGGGTGGAGGTGACACTTCCCAGCAGCTATCACGGTGCAGTTTGTGGACTCTGTGGAAACATGGACCGAAATCCTGGCAACGACCGAGTCTTCCCCAATGGCACGCTGGCTCCCTCGATCCCCATCTGGGGCGGCAGCTGGAGAGCCCCTGGCTGGGACCCATTGTGCTGGGATGAATGTCAGGGGTCCTGCCCAACATGTCCCGAGGACCGGCTGGAGGAGTACAGCGGCCCTGGCTTCTGCGGACCCCTGGTCCCTGGCACAGGAGGCCCCTTTGCCTCCTGCCATGCCCACGTGTCACCTGACAGCTTTTTCAAGGGCTGCATCCTGGATGTCTGCCTGGGTGGTGGGGCCCACGACATACTCTGCCAGGCGCTGGCTGCCTACGCTGCTGCCTGCCAGGCCGCTGGAATCACAATCAAGGACTGGCGGGAGCAGGCTGGCTGCAGTAAGCACTGGGGGAGTCATACAGAGGGTGGAGGGTGAGGGGCCGGGAAACCGGGTCTCACTCGGGAATATTGGGGTCTGCTTGTGTTCTTGCTTCTGTCTCCTGGTGCCTGTCTCTCTCTCTCTGTTGGTGTCTCTCCTGTCACTTGGTACCTCCCCCTGTGTTTCCCTTTCTCTTGTCTTTCTCTACCTGGGCTTGTCTCTCTCCTTTATCCTGTCTCACTCTACCGCTCCCTCTTTCTCTGTCTTGACTGGGTCCCTCTGTCTCTGACTCTCTGTGTCTCTTCCCCTATGTGTCTCCTCCTCATGCTCTGGTCCAGGCCCTGGGCTGTTGTATGAAGTCTCATTCTACATCTTTTACCAAGTCTTTTTTTTCTTGCTCTGTTTTCTCCTTCTTCATCTGAATCCAGCTCTTTTCTATACCACTTCCCACCCTTCAGTGTGTCTGTCTGTCTTTCTCTGTGCTCTGACCCGATGACCTGACACCATGCTCTCTCTCTCTCCCTCCTTTTGCCCACAGGCATCCCCTGCCCTGATAATAGCCACTATGAGCTCTGTGGCTCACCTTGCCCAGCCACCTGTCCGTCCCCTGCACCGCCCACGATCCCAGACCCATGTGACGGCCCTTGCGCTGAGGGCTGCCAGTGTGATGAGGGCTTCGTGCTGAGTGTGGACCGCTGCGTTCCCCTGGATGGGGGCTGCGGCTGCTGGGCCAATGGCACCTACCACGAGCCAGGGAGCGAGTTCTGGGCTGATGGCACCTGCTCCCAGCTGTGCCGCTGTGGGCCTGGGGGTGGCTCTGTAGTTTGCAAGCCTGCCAGCTGTGGGCTGGGTGAGGAGTGTGCCCTTCTGCCCTCGGGTCAGCATGGCTGCCACCCCATCAGCACAGCTGAATGCCAGGCCTGGGGCGATCCTCACTACATCACCCTGGATGGAAAGCGATTTGACTTCCAGGGCGCCTGTGAGTACCTGCTGAGCGCACCCTGCCAGGAGCTACCAGAGGGGACTGAAAGATTCACTGTCACTGTAGCCAACGAGCACCGGGGCAGCCAGGCTGTCAGCTACACCCGCAGCATCACCCTGAGCATCTACAACCACAACCTGACCCTCAGTGCCCAGTGGCCCCGGAAGCTGCAGGTGAGGAGCACTGCCCGGGACAGTAACAGGGTGGCCATCCCCCTACCCTAAGTACCTCTCACCACATGTTAGAGGGTATGGTATGGTGCAAGGTGTTCCAAGGACACGTTTTGGAGCCTGGTGGCTTGGAGCAGTGGCTTCCTTCTCTCTGAGCCTTAGTTTATTCTTCTGTAAAATGGTCTAAGAAAAATACCCGATTCAGAGGATAGTATGAGGAACCTGTGATACTGTATTTGTAAATATCAGTGTGGGGTCTGTGACAGCGAAATCACTGGGATGCATAACCACTGTTCTTATTACCAGACTTTGGTTTGCCAGTATCAACCACCAGACAGACATAGTACGGGATGGTCAACTAAGAATTTAAGAGCTCTGCCAACTCTGCAGACAGACATGGGCTCAAATTCTCACTGTGCCACTTACTAACTGTATGAAAAGTTACTTCAGTGCCTGTACCTCAGTGTCCTCATCTGTAAAATGGGGGTAGGATAATACTTCTCTCATTGAGTGTTAGTTCTGACTCATAGTGACCCTGTATAGGGTTTCTAAGGAGTGGCTGGTGGGTTTGAACCATCAATTTCAATGGTTCCCAATTCAGTGCTGATCTAGAGTGTCACACCAGGACTCTAATAAGTAATAATGTTGCTGTTGTTAAGTGCCATCGAGTCAGTTCCAACTCATAGCAACCCCGTATAGGATTTCTTTCTGGGAATCCTGGTATGGCGCTGTGAGCTAAAGCACTGGACCACAAGCTTGGCTTCAGCCACAAGGTCGGTGGCTCAAAGTCATTAGCCGCTCCTTGAAAACCCTATACAGGGTCACTATGAGGCAGAACTGACTCAACAGCACTTAACAACAACATTATTACTTATCATAGTCCTGGTGAGGCACTGTGGGGTAATGCACTAGGACAGCAAGGTCGATTTGAATAGCAAGGTCAGTGGCTGAAATTCACCAGCCGCTCCTCAGAAACCCTATACAGGGTTTGCTGAGTCAGAACCAACTCAACAGCACTTAACAGCAACAACATTATCTTATTAGAGTCCTGGTGTGGCGCTGTAGGATCAGCACTGAATTGCTGACCACAAGGTTGACAGTTCAAACCCACCAGCCACTCCTTAGAAACCCTATACAGGGTCACTATAAGTCAGAACTGATTCAACATCACATAACAACAAAACAAGAATTATTACTTACTCAGACAGACCTTCAAAAGACCTGTATTTCTGTATTAGCAAATGCTTAGAAGTATTTGCTGTTATTGTTTGTCATATGGTACCCTGGTGGCACCATGGCTAAGCAATTGCCCAGTAACTGAAAGGTCGGTTACTCACCAGCTGCTCCTCAGGAGAAGAGGCCTACCAATCTGTTCCCATAAAGATTACCGCCCAGGACACCCAAGAGGACAATTTCATCTGACCTGTCGGATCACTCTAATGAGTTGGAATCCACTCGGCAACATGAGCATTTTCACTAGTACACTGTTTTTATTACCTGGGTTGTTGTTGTTAGGGGCCATTGCATTGGTACCGACTCATAGTGCAATGCACAACAGAACAAAACACTGCCCGATCCTGGGCCAACCTCACAATTGTTGCCATGCTTGAGCCCACTGATGCTGCCACTTTGCCAATCCATCTCGCTGGGGGTCTTCCTCTTTTTCTCTGACCCTCCACCTTACCAAACATGATATCCTTCTCCAGTGACTGGTCCCTCCCGACAACTTAGGTGGAAATCACAAAAGGCATCAGCAATAGTAGAGTCATTATATACTTGGGGTCTGGGAGCCAGACAGTCCCTGGTAAAATCCCATAATTGCCTCTTACTAGGTGACTTCTGTGTGCTTCGGTTTCCTTTACCTATTAAATGAGGTGCTCTCAAAGGTACTGTGAGCAGTAAAGGAGTTAAGGCTTGTAACCAAAAAAACCAAACACACTTTCGATTCCCGCTCACAGCAACTTTACATAGAGTTTCTGAGACTGTAAATCTTTATGGGCGCAGACAGCCTCCCCCCCCACCCGGGGGGATTTGAACTGTATACCTGTTGGTTAGCACCTAACCCTCAGCACCACCAGAGCTCCAATACTTATAAAGCACATTTTAAAAGTACCTGTTACAATATGTTCTTTGTGTTTGTTGTTATTATATTTGTCCTGTGCCCTTGGGTAGGCACTTAACCTCTCTGTGCCTCAGTTTCATTTGTAAAAGGATCATAATAATACCTTATAGGGTGATTATGAGAATTCAATCAGTTAATCCATATGAAGAGTTCAGTACCATGCCTGATGTGTCCTGAGGATTCTATATGTTATTAGCAGTCTGGTGCTTATTCTATGGACTCCTGATGTGGCGTTGCAGGATCAGCACTGGACTGCAAACCGCAATGTCAGCGGTTCAAACCTACCAGCTGCTCCTCGGAAACCCTGTAGAGGGTCGCTATGAGTCAGAATCAACTCGACAGAACTTAACAACAGCATCATTATTATTACAAGTTGGGCGAGGGGTTCCTCGCTACTCAACCTGCTTGTCCCCACAGGTGAACGGCAAGCTCGTAGCGCTGCCCTTCCAGCTGGACTCACGCCTGCACGCGTACCTGAGCGGCGCCGACGTAGTAGTGACCACTGCCGCGGGGATCTCGCTGGCTTTCGACGGGAATAGCAATGCGCGCCTGCGCGTGCCAGCGGCGTACGCGGGCGCCCTCTGTGGTCTTTGCGGGAACTACAACCAGAACCCTAAGGACGACTTGGATGCTGTGGGCGGGAAGCCCGAAGGCTGGCAGGTGGGCGGCGCCCCCGGCTGCGGTGAATGCGTGCCCGGGCCGTGCCCGCCACCGTGCACGCCAGAGCAGCAGGCTGCTTTCGCTGGCCCGGATGCCTGCGGCGTGATCTCGGTTTCCGACGGCCCGCTGGCGCCCTGCCACGGCCTTGTGCCGCCTGAGCCATACTTCCAAGCCTGCCTCCTAGACGCCTGCCAAGCTCAGGGCCACCCGGGAGGCCTCTGCCCTGCCATAGCCGCCTACGTGACCGCCTGCCAGGCTGCTGGAGCCCAGCTGGACGAGTGGAGGCGACCGGACTTCTGCCGTGAGTACTGATCCATGCATGACCATACAGGAGGGCACTCCCCTCCGTCTCCAAGAGGTCAGGGAGACTCTTTTGTAGCTACCCACTGAAATACACGTATACCAGTGGGAGAGACTTGATCCACCTGATCAGAAACCCTTGGTCAAATACACTCTTGTGAATTTCCATGCTCAGATAATATGGGTGGACAGCCCTGTTTAAGTTACACAGGGAGAGGCATCGGGTTAAACATGCCCTAGTCAATTCTGTGATTTATGCAGGGTCAGATGCCCCTAGACTATTTCACACACTGAAATACACAGGGTCAGGGACAGAGACATAGATGGCTACAGACACTTGGACAGATTTACACTGGGACCCACCACCAACACACCCTGGTTAGATAGATCTAGTCTCCTTGACAGCAAACCCCACCTGGTCAGATAGAATTGGTCTGATACCTTCAGTGAAACCTGGTTATAGCAATACACAAGATTCACTACCCTGACGCAGTACCAGTCAGAGGCCTCAAAAAGTTCGTGGAAAAATTCCGTTACCTTTTCATTCATTCCGTTTTTCCACCAACTTTCTGAAGCCCTCTCATACATAAAACCAAAAACCAAACCCAGTACCATCGAGTCAATTCTGATTCACAGTCACCCTCCTCTCTATAGGGTTTCTGAGACTAAATCTTTATGGGAGCAGACAGACTCATTTTTCTACTGAAATGTATCTGGTGGGTTTGAACCCCTAACCTTGCAAGTAGCAGCCCAGTGCCTAAACCCATTGCTGTTGTTACATGCTCGGTATGGGGTTTCCAAGATTATAAATCTTCATAGGAGCTGAAAACCTCATCTTTCTCCCACCAAAAGTCTGGTGGGTTTGAACTGCCGATTTTGTGGTTAACAGTCCAGTGTTTACCCTGCAGTGCCACCAGGGCTCCAGCCTAAACCCATTTGTTGTTGTTCGGTGCTGTCGAATCTGGTCTGACTCATAGCGACTCTTTGTTGGGTTTCTAAGGCTTTAAAATCATTCTCCCATAGAGTGGCTGATGGACTCTAGCCATGGACTTTTTGGTTCAAAGCCACCATACTCCATTGTTATTGTTAAAGTGCTGTCAAGTCGGTTCCAAGTCATAGTGATCCTATACAGGGTTTCCAAAGAGCAGCTGATGGATTTGAACCTCAAACTTTGCAGTTCAAACCAAGGTTGCAGTCGAGTGCTTTTCCTACAACGGACTCCAACCATACTCCCTTGATGGCTGTGTGCCCTGGAGTTGGTTCCGACTCACAGAGACCCTGTAATAGGGTTTCCAAGGCTGTAAATCTTTATGGGAGCAGAATGCCTTATCTTTCTCCCATGGAACCTCTGGTAGTTTTGAACTTGACCTTGTGGTTCACAGCCCTATTCGTAACCACTACTCTACCAGAGCTCCTTACCATACTGCCTTAGCTCTGGGCAATTCTCCTCAGTAACATATCTGCTCAAATTTATCCTGTCAGCTTCACCCAGTCAGAGATATGTGGTTGGACTCACACACTGAGACAAACCACATGCAGAGGCTCTGACAGATGTGTACCAAATGTACACAGGCATCTTGCCACTCCATGATACATCTGGCCAGATGCCCCAGGCAGGTTCACACCACAGTTGGTTGTAATCTTGCAGCTGTTGTTGTTCAGTGCCCATATGTCGGTTCTGACCTATAGAGAACCTTTATAGAGTTTCCAAGGAGCGGCTGGTGAGTTTGAACCGCTGACTGGTAGTTTTTCAAGCCGACCTTGCAGTCTTGTGTGTATCATACAGCGTCAGTCTCCCAGTCAAATACATGTGATCAAATCTCTCTAGTCAGCTAGAAATATGCTTGGTCAGGTAAACATGCAGAAAGACCTGGTTATAACCCTCCCACAGATCTCCATCCTAAATTCCCCAGTTAGATTCACTCCCATCAGATCCCTAGATGGTTGTTAGGCCCAAACTCATCAGCCACTCCTCAGAAATCCTACACAGGGTCGCTATGACACGGAAACAACTCAACGGCACTTAACAACAACAAATAGGAGTTTCAAGGTTCTGATCGTTTACAAATGGATCACCAGGTCTGTCTTCCGCAGCACCTCTGGGTGTGTGTGAACCAACCTTTCAGCACTTAACCACTTGTGCCACCCAGCCTGCACAGTTATATAAAGTTAATAAAAGACACAGATCCACCCAGATTCTCCTGTTCTGAGGCTTACCTCCCCCCTCACCTTACCTGACACCCTCCCTCCTTGTTCCCACAGCCCTGCAGTGCCCTGCCCACAGCCACTATGAACTCTGTGGTAACTCCTGCCCGGTGAGCTGCCCCAGTCTCTCAGCGCCTGAGGGCTGCGAGCCTGCCTGCAGTGAGGGTTGTGTCTGCGATGCTGGCTTCGTGCTCAGTGGTGACAGCTGTGTACCCGTGGGCCAGTGTGGCTGTCTTCATGAAGGCCAGTACTACCCACTGGGTGAGGCCTTCTACCCGGGCCCCGAGTGTGAGCGGCGCTGTGAGTGTGGGCCGGGGGGCCAGGTCCACTGCCAGGAGGGTGCAGCCTGCAGGCCCCATGAGGAGTGCCGCTTAGAGAACGGCGTCCAGGCTTGTCATGCCACAGGCTGTGGCCGCTGCCTGGCCAACGGGGGCATCCATTACATCACCCTCGATGGGCGTGTCTATGACCTGCATGGCTCCTGCTCTTATGTTTTGGCTCAAGTCTGCCACCCGCAGCCTGAGGATGAGGACTTTGCCATTGTGCTTGAGAAGGATGAGACTGGAGAACCTGAGCGTTTGCTGGTCACTGTGGCTGACCATGTTGTGATCCTGACTCTGGGGATGCAGGTGAGTGGACTAGTCCTGGCCCTAGGGGACTGTCCTGGCAGATCTGAATGGACATAGCCCTCCCCTGGAGGTCTGAGGGGAATACAGCCCTACCCTGAGGGGCCCTAGGGGAAAACCCTGCGGGGGCTGCCAAGGGACACAGCCCCACCTTGAGGGGTCTGAGGGGGACATGGCCCTGCCCTGTGGAGCGGGAGAGGGGTCTGAGAGGGAAATAACCCTGCCTTAGACTCAAGCGTGGCAACAGTAGTGAGGTTGGCCCAGGATTGTGTAGTGTTTCGTTCTGCTGTGCGTAAGTAAAGTCACTATGGGTTGGTACCGACTCGATGGCACTTAACAACAACAACAACCCTATATGAATGGCCTTCACCCAGTGGCATATGGGGTGGTCATAGCTCCATCCTGGGGGTGTGAAGGGACAGTCCTACCTGTGGGCCTGTGAGTCCTTAACCCATCTGACCCTTCCACCCAGGTCTATGTGGACGGCGAGGCTGTGACCCTGCCCATGGCCAAGGGCCCCATACGGGTGACTGCTGAGGGCCGGAACATAATTCTGCAAACAGCCAAGGGGCTGCGGCTGCTCATTGACAACGATGCCCACATCCTCATGTCCATTCCCAGCCCCTTCCACGGCCGGCTCTGTGGTCTCTGTGGGAACTTCAATGGCAATTGGACTGATGACTTTGCGCTGCCCAATGGCCACAACGCCCCCAGTGTGGAGGCCTTCGGAGCTTCCTGGCGGGCACCTGGCTCCTTCCCGGGCTGTAGCGAGGGCTGCGGGCCCCAAGGCTGCCCCGTGTGCTCTGCGGAGGAGACAGCGCCATATGAGAGCACCCAGGCCTGCGGGATGATGCGGGACCCTCAGGGCCCCTTCGCCTCCTGCCATGCAGCACTGAGCCCCTCTGAGTACTTCCGCCAGTGTGTGTACGACATGTGTGCCCAGAAGGGGGACAGGGCTGTGCTCTGCAGCAGCCTTGCCGCCTACACAGCGGCCTGCCAGGCAGCTGGCTTGGCCGTGAAGCCCTGGAGGACACACAGCTTCTGCCGTAAGTGTCCACCGACCCCTCTGAGGACTCCAGACCCAGCTCTGAGGCATCTCCTGATTTCCTTTCCTGTCCCTATCTCCGACTGAAGTGCTTCGTCCCTCGCTCATCCCAGCCCCACTCCAACCTGTCCTCAAACTTGAAATTCCGTTATCCCAGCTCTATGGTGATATGAAGGGAGGGTAGCTAGGTCAGGAGCTCACACAATAAAGCCTGAGCCTACAGCTCACTCAGATCCCCAGGCAGAGCCATGTCTCCACAGATATTCAGGGCAGGACTGGCCATCACCCCATGACCTGGCCACTGTCTGTCTCCATCCCTAACCTCTTTCCTGACTGTCAGTCTCAGAGGTCCAATGACCAATGGAACACCTTTCCCTTGATATCCTTAGGGACACTTGGCACCTGCTATCTTCCCAGCTGACGTCAGCATTTCACTCCAAACCTGATCCTCCCAGTCTGCGTTCCTGGTTCCCATCTTGGGACCATTTCCTGTCCTCCTAGTCAGAGCTCAGGACCTCCGGGGGAGGCATTCCCTAGGTCCCTTCCCCTGCACCTTCTCACCCCTTCCCCGACTGCTCTGGGCTGTCACTCTCTGTTCCACTGGATAGAAATTCCACCAGGCTCGGGCTTGGGACTGTCTTCATCATTTTTGTCCTCAGTAAACCAAAAATCAAACCCACTGCTAAGGAGTGGAGTTCGACTCCTGGCAAACCTGTATAGAGTTTCTAAGACTGTAAATCTTTATGAGAGCAAGCAACCTCCTTCTCTCTCTCTCAGAACAACTGGTGGGTTTGAATCACCAACCAACCTTGTAGTTAGCAGCCCAGCACCTAACCCACAGTGCCACCAGGGCTCCAAGTATGCAGTGTTGTTGTTAGGTGTCATCAAGTCAGCACCGACTCATAGTGACCCTAGGCACAACAGAATGAAACACTGCCCGGGCCTGAGCCAACTGCACAATCATTGCTACACCTGAGCCCACTGCTGCCACCACTGTTCTAATAATCCATCTCATTGGCAGTCTTCCTCTTTTTCTCCAACCCTCCACTTTACCAAACATGATATCCTTCTCCTGGAACTGGTCCCTCCTGATAATATGTCCATAGTATGAGAGACGAAGTCTGGCCGTGCAGGCTTCCAAGGAGCACTCTGGCTGTACTTCTTCCAACACAGATCTGTTGGTTCTTTAGCAGTCCATGATACTTTTATTACTCTACTCCAACACCATAACTCAAATGCGTCAATTCTTCTGTAGTCTTCCTTATTCATTATTCAACTTCCGCATACATATGAGGTTATTGAAAATACCATGGTTTGGGTCAGGCGCATCTTAGTCCTCTAACTGACATCTTTGCTCTTGAACACATCAAAGAGGACTTGTGCAGCTGATTCCATTAATTGTCCATTGTCACTTGGAGGAATGACTTTTCCCATCTTCTTCTCCACAGCTCTACAGTGCCCTGCCCACAGCCATTATTCCATCTGCACTCGCTCCTGCCAGGGCTCCTGTGCGGCTCTCTCCGGCCTCACGGGCTGCACCACCCGATGCTTCGAAGGCTGTGAGTGTGATGACCGCTTCCTGCTCTCCAACGGAATCTGTATCCCTACCCAAGACTGTGGCTGCACCCATGACGGCCGGTACCTGCCGGTGAGCAGGGGCTTGTGGTGGACAGAGAAGGTGCTGGGGCTGGGTAGAGGCTCAGAGCTTCTGTGCCAACCTCCTTAGGGATGAGGACAGAGAGCTGCCACCGTGACCCAGCTGTGTGACTTGGTGCTGGTAATACATCGTTGTATTAGTTTCCTGTGGTTGCGGTAACCAAGTACCACAAACATGGTGACTTAAAGCAAGATAGGTTTATTCTCTCATGGTTCTGGAGATCAGAAGTCTGAAATCAGTATCACTGGACTGAAATTAAGGTGTCAGCAAGGCTGTAATCTGTTCCTTGCTTCCTTCGGCACCCATGGTTGCCAGCATTTCTTCACTTATGGCGACATCACTCCAGTGTCTGTCTCCATGGTTACAGTGCCTCCTCTTCTGTGTTTATTGTACAAGCTCCCTCTGCCTCTTTCTTACAAATATATTTGTGGTTGTATTCAAGATCTATCCAGAATAATCCCATCTCAAGATCTTTAGTTGAATCATACCTGCATAAGATCCTGTTCCCATCTCAGGTAACATACATAGGTACTATGGAGTCCTGGTGTGGCCCTGTAGGATCAGCACTGGACTTTGTGATTAGCAAGGTCAGCATTTCAGCCTCTCCTTGGAAACCCTACACAGGGTTGCTGTGTGTGGCAACTGACTTGACAGCACACAGTAAAGAGCAACAATGTATAGGTCCTAGGGATTAGGGCCTGACGTTTTGTTGTTGTTGTTGTTAGATACCATCAAGTCAGTTCCCGCTCATAGTGACCCTATGTACAACAGAACAAAACACCGCTCGGTCCTGTTGTTATTTCTGAGCCATTGTTGCAACCATTGTGTCAGTCTGTCACATGGAGGATCTTCCTCTTTGTTGCTGACCCTCTACTTTTTTTTTTTTTTTTCAAGTTTTTATTGTGAGGTTTACATGGGAGAATATCAGCTTTACACTCGTCCTATCATATTTCATTTCATTGCAGTGATTACATTCCCCTCCATGCATCATCATATAACCCCAAAGGGTACATCACACAGGCCTTCCCTCTCCCTCCCCAGCCACCAGCAGGGTCCAGTGTCCCCAGCCGCTCCATCTCTCCACATCATCTTCTCTGTCTCCATGTTTGGTATCACTGCCTCTCTGGGTAGGGGCTGACCCTCTACTTTGCCAAGCATGATGTCCTTCTCCAAGGACTGGTCTGATATCTTTGGGGAGCTGTTATTCTGCTTACTACAAGTTCCTTCCTGAGCCTCAATTTCCTCACCTGTAAAATGGAGTTAATCTTCAGCCTTACACGATAGATGTCTGAGGATGGGATGAGACTGTACACAGAAGGCATCTACTGAATTCAGGATCTCATCTTCCATGTTCATGACACACAGTAAAAATAATAGCAATTTATAGCAGCATAATAGTTCGGACAGCTAGCCGTCACTTAATTTAGTAGTATTAGTTAGGAGTTTAATAATGACTGTTAATTTGGGTTTATCTTTGTTAATGATATTTTTTGAGCTCTTAAGTACATACAAGTTTATTACACGTGTTCATTTATTTAATAATCACAACAATCTTCTGAGTAGGAACTCTTTCATAGATGAAGAGATTGTGGCAGAGAAATCTGCCCAAGGGCACCAATGAACAAGTGATCATGTCAAGATTCATACCACAGAAGCTTGGGCTGTTAAATAGGATAAGCTAAGCTATCCAGCTTCTTCAAAAATAGCGTCCTTGGACAAAGGAGAGCTGGATTATCACAGTCTTTCCTCATACATTCAGTTTTATAAATGACAGGAAGTTAGACTAGAAGTCTAAGACTTCTGGGGAAGGGGAGGGCAAATTTCTATTCCATCTTTGATGTCTCTTTACCTATAAGAATCCATTCCTGATTTAGGCTGGGTTAAACATCTTTCCTTAGATTCCCACAGCCCTGCTCTTCCCCCAGCCTAGCTCCAAACCTGCCCATGCCTCCCCCACCCAGCTGAGCCCTCCGCTGTGCTGGAAGCTTGGATTTGTGAGTCTGACATTCAGGAAAGAGATCTGGGCTGGAGACGTACAGGTGGGGCCCATCAGTATAGAGACAGTAGTTAGTTAATTACATTTATTCAATTCAAGTTTTCTAACTTTTTATTTTGAAAGAATTCAAACTTAAAAATTGAATAATACTGTAAAGAACTGTTGTATACCCTTCACTCAGATTCCATTGTTGAGAATATATCCCAATTGTTTTCCTTATCATTCTTTGCCTATATGTCTATCCATTTACCTCTATAAATCGCTGTGAAGTGCCTTCAAGTCAGTTCTGACTCATAGTGACCCTGTATAGGGTTTCCCAGGCTTTCTAAAAACTCTTTGCCGAGGCAGAAAGCCTCATATTTCTTCTGCAGAGCAGCTGGCAGGCTCAAACCATGGGCTTTGTGGTTCACAGACCAGTACTTATCATATGGAACCACCGCGCTCCCAGCAGGATGTTGGGAGTGTGTTGGTGTGTGTCATGGAGTTGGTTCCGACTCATAGCAGCCCTGCCTGTATAGGGTTTCCGAGGCTGTAAATCTTTACGGGAGCAGAACGCCTCCTCTGCTATCTGTCTCTTGGGCTCACTCATGTATTTGTAATCACAGACGGGTTAGCTGAGGGCTGACTGACCCAGGTGTGTTTAGCTGAAGCAGTTGTTGCTCTTCCATGTGGCCTTTCACCCTCCAACAGGCTAGCCCAGGATTGTTCTCATGATTACTAAGCAGAGTGAGAGAGAATGAAGCTGCAATGTCTCTTGAGGACTAAACTTGAAACTGATCAATTGCTACTACTGCATTGTATGTTGTTGTTAGTGGCCATCAAGTCAGTGCTGAATCACAGCGGCCCATGCACAACAGAACGAAATACCGCCCAGTCCTGCGCCAACCTCACAATCGTTAACTGCATGTGTGCCCATTGCTGCTGCCACTGTGCCAATCCATCCCATTGGGGGTCTTCCTCTTTTTCTCCAACCCTCCACTTCTTCAAACATGATATCCTTCTCCAGAGACTGGACCCACTTGACAATATGTCCAAAGTATGAGAGACGAAGTCTGACCATCCTGGTTTCCAAGGAGCACTCTGGCTGCACTTCTTCCTACACAGATCTGTTTGATCTTTTGTCAGTCCATGGTACTTTCAATGTTCTCCTCCAACATCATAATTATTGTACAGTCTTCCTTATTCTTTATCCAACTTTCATATGCATATGAGTTTATTGAAAATACTATAGCATGGGTCAGGTATACCTTAGTCGTCAAACTGACATCTTTACTCTTGAACACTTGAAAGAGGTCTTGTGCCGCATTTTTGCCTAATGCATTACGTCGTTTGATTTCTTGACTGCTGCTTCCATCAGTGTTGATAGTAGATTCAAGCAAAATAAAGTCTTTGACAACTTATCTTTTCTCCATTTATCTTGATGTTATTTATTGGTCCAGTGGTGAGAATTTTTATTTTCTTTACATTGAAATGCAACCCATACCAAAGGCTGTGGTCTTTGAGGGGGCTTCAAAAGTTTGTGGGAAAATGGGAAAAAAAGCAATGTAGTTTTTTCACAAACTCTTTGAAGCCCCCTCAAGTATGGGATGGCTCTGTAGGATAAGCACTGGACCAAAAGGTTGGCTTAAACCACAAGGCCGGTGGTTCAAACTTACCAAACGTTCCTTGGAAACCCTACATAGGGTGGCAGTGAGTCAGAATCGACTCAACAGTGCTTAACAGCAACGTATCGGCCAAAGCATAGTCATTAGAGCAGCCCAGAAACAGGAGGAGGGGAAATAAATTTCACTTCTTAAAAGAAGCTGCTGCAAAAATCCCTCTACATGGATACTGATGTTTGGTGAGAGGAACCACATCCAAATCAAACCACAGGAATATTTAGGATCAGTTGAAAGAGGTGTCAGCACAAGGGGCCCCAAGTATCACTGAACTGATGGACCACCAGAACTGGAGTAGACCTTATATCATGGCAGAATTCATGGTGGTACAGATTCTTCGCAATTCTTTAGTGGCTGGATGATTTGATTTCATTTTTCCCATGCTTTCAGTATAATGGAGAGCAGGTTTGTGCCCATTTTTGCAATCCACCTCACAGCTATCACCTGTACCTTTCCGTCCCAGGTGAACTCCTCCCTGCTGACTTCAGACTGCAGTGAGCGCTGCTCCTGTTCCTCCAGCACGGGCCTCACCTGCCAGGCAGCCGGCTGCCCCTTAGGCCGTGTGTGTGACGTTCAGTCCGGAACCCGGGACTGCTGGACCCCCCACGGCCTCTGTTCCCTCTCTGCAGACACCAATCTCACCTCCTTTGATGGGGCCCACATTGCCGTCAGCTCCCCTGGCGTCTATGAGCTCTCCACTCTTTGCCCAGGACGGCAGAAGACTAGCCCCTGGTATCGTGTGGTCACCGACGTCCGACCCTGCCAAGGCCAGGCCGAAGCTGTTCGCCAGGCCCACATCTTCTTCCATGATGGGATGGTCACCATAACCCTGAGCAAGGGCGTATGGGTAAGCCTGGGTTTTTGTTCTTCCTCTAACAGCAATGTTCCTACATTCTTGGCTGCTTGGCTGCCTGTCTGTCTCTTTCTGTCTGACTTGTCTACATCCAGGTCCCTGTAGTTCGGTCTCTGGATTTATATTTATCTCCGTGTCTCAAACTTGGTCTCTAAGTCAGCTGAGTTCTTGACACACAGAAATGTATGCAAGGAACTTAATCATTTGGGCATTAGTATTAATCAAGACTCCATTGGTTGCAAGTGATAGGAATCAAAAAGTGGCAGAAAACCAATTTCAAAATGCCTTAAGCAAAAAAAGAACATATTGGCTCAGTAATTAGGAAGTCCAGGGATAGAGCTTCAGGAGTGGTGGGATCACGGTACTATCAGGAATTCTCCCCTCTGTGTCTTAGAAATGCTGTCACCAAAAATCAGCATCAGCCTTCAGTAGGCTCTCGCATCATCGCAGGGCAAAGATGAGCCTCCAACTGCTTGAGGCCAACATCCCACCAATTGATCTACCTTACCAGAACATGATGCCAAAACCCCAGGATGATATCTCACTGGGCCAGTGTTGGGGTCACATGCCCACCTCTGGCACTAGTTGTTTTGCCCTTAAGACTAAAATGCTGTGATTGGTCAGGTTGGGGGATCACAATGGTCAGGAGTCCTCAAGACCATTCCTAGGTTTCACTGATTTGCTAGAGTGATTCATAGGACTCAGTGAATATAGTCATATTCACAGCTAAGATTTATTGCAGCACAAAGAAACAAGACAAAATCAGCCAAGGGCCAAGGCGCATGAAGCAGAGTCTGGAGGAAACCAGATGAAAGCCTTCCAGACTCCTCTCCCCCGGGTCACACTGGATAGTTTTAATTCCTGCAGCTATGAGTACTGACATGTGTCTACCAGGGATGTTCATTAGAGACTCAGCAGGCAGCATTTGGATTGGAGGCCGGTCATGGAGGCAACTTTTGCTTGGGCGATATCCAAATTTCAGACTGTTAGAAGGAAAGCTAGGTGTTCAGCATAAACTACATTGTTTGAGCAAATAGTTTAAGCGATTCATAAGGTTTTTCAGTAGCTAAACGTTCAGAAGCAGTCTGCTTCTCCTTTTTCCTAGTCTGACTTAGGCTGGAAGCTCCACTGAAACCCATCCACCATGAGTGACCTGCTGGGATTTAAAATACCCGTGACATAGCTTCCAGCAACAGCGACACACAAGCCACCACGGTACGATAAACTGACAAGATGAGTGGTGACGTTTAGGCACAGTGAAATACTTTTACCAGTTCTGGGAATGGTGCGGACTCTTCAGAAATATAAATTCCCAGACACCAACCAAGGGCCAACCTTGGAAGCAGCCTTTGTAAAGACAGCCGTCTCAGGCCTGCCATGTTAACCCTTTTCTGGAGTCTTGGTGTGGTGCTGCGGGTTAATGCGCTAGACTTCAAGGTCAGTTTGAACCACAAGATTGGTAGGTCAGACTCACCAGCTACTCGTCGGAAACCCTATACAGGCTTGCTATGAGTCGGAACTGACTCAGTGGCACGTAACAGCAACAACAAAGATCAACATGGAGTTGGGTTCAAAGTAGGATATTGAGGGGCGTCCCAAAGGAAAACTTCAGGGAGGTTCTTTTGCTAGAAGAGAGTGATGTAGATGCTGAGTGGTCAAAAGCAGTAACTGACCACTTTAGCAACAATATTTATACTAATGAGAGCTGATATAGTAGTTATTTGTTATTTCATAAGAAATTATCCCAAAGCATAGCAGTTTAAAATAGCCAAAATTTATTATCTTTTTTTTAATTAAAAACTATAAAAATGTATCGTTTTTGAGGGTTGGGTATCCAGGAGCAGTTGAACTGGGTGGTACTGGATCGGGGGTTGCAGGCAAGCTGTTGGCCAAGGCGGCAGTCTTGAAGACTTATCTGGGTGCCACTTCTGTGCTCACTCACTGGCTGTTAGCAGAAGACCTCAGTTTCTCACCATCTGGGCCTCTCCATATGGGCTGCTCACCATATGGCTTCCCCCAAAGCAAGTGATCCAAGAGAGAAGCAAGATGGAAGCCGCAATCTTTTTATAATCTAAGCTCAGAAGTGACGTATGAACTCTACCATTTCTTATTGGCCATGAAGACCAAACCTTGATATAGATGTGGGAAAGTCTTACACAAGGGCATGAATGGCAGGAGGCAGGATTGATAGGGGCCATCTTGGAGGCCAGCTACCACAGCCAGCAGCTATTGAACACTTACTTACCTTTTCCAGACCCTACACTAAACCCTTAATACATCTGAGGTCATTGACTCCTCACAACACATCTATCAGAAGGGACCATTACTATCATCATTCTACCCAGAGAGGAAACTGAGGCCCAAGAAAGTTACGTCATTTACTCAAGTCACTCACAAAGTACCTGGGAGATCCAGGCTTCGAACACACCGGAGTCCTTGTTCTTAACACTTTGATGTGACAGAGGTGCTGGTGGTAACTGCAAGGATACAAGGGATTCCAAGTACAGTGCTTGGTGGGACTCTGACCCCTGCTAATTCAAGGCCACTTGACCATTTCCCCAGCTGTCCTCCCTCCAGCTTTCTCTTAAGGACCTCCTTGGACCTGTTCTTTTTTGCCTCTGGTTCATGAGTCCATTCCAGCCCCAGTGCTCCACTTCTATCTCCTCCTTGACTTTCTTTCATTTCTAACTATTTTGCATTTGCCAAACCATATAGTTCTCACTATCCCAATTCCAAATTGAGGGCCCTGTTCCCTCAGTGTTAGGCCATATGCTGGGTAACCGATGATACCAGTCCAATTCCTGTGCTTGAGTATCTGCAGCCTGATGGAGCTTTCTGTCCATCTCTCTACCCATCTGTCAGTGGTCCACCTGTCTACTCATCTATCAGTCCATCCATGTCTCTACCCATCTGTCAGTCCATCCATCTCTTTACCCATCTGTAAGTCAGTCCACCTGTCTGCTCATCTATCAGTATCCATGTGTCTACCCATCTATCTGTCAGTCCATCTATCTCTCTACCCATCTGTCAGTCCATCCATCTCTCTAACCATCTATCAGTCGGTCCACCTGTCTACTCATCTATCAGTCATCCATGTGTCTACCCATCTGTCAGTCCATCCATCCCTCTAACCATCTACCAGTTGGTCCACCTGTCTATTCATCTATCAGTCCATCCATCTCTCTACCCATCTGTAAGTCAGTCCACCTGTCTGCTCATCTATCAGTCATCCATGTGTCTACCCATCTATCTGTCAGTCCATCTATCTCTCTACTCATCTGTCAGTCCAGTCAATCAACCTTCCCTCTTTCCTTCTGTCTGTCACTATCTCTCCCTTTTCTTCCTCCCTCCCTTCCTTCTTTACTACCATCCATCCATTCACCATCTTTTCAGCTATCTCTCTAACCATCCATCTACCTTTGCAATTGTCTGTCAGAGGAATACTTAGACACAAAAGCATTCAGAAAAAAAGAAAGGAATTTTCTGTCAAAGAAGGTTTGCTAAAGAGTCCAAGTTTAGAAGAATGAACTCATCAACTAAAAAAGACAACAATTATTTAGGAAAAAAACATAACACAATGTTACCCAGTCTGTGATACAGAAATAGTAATTTTGCCATATGATTATTGTATTTATTAAGGTCATTACTGATCTTCCAACGTCAGCATTGCAAAAATAAGGCACAACATTACTTTTGTCAGGAAACCAGTAACTTACAGGAGAGGTCAAGGGTTCTTTTATTTTGAGAACTAGAATCAAACAAGGTGACCTTGGGGTCTGTTTGGTTGTCCAGCTTTCTGATACAAAGTTTTTTTATTACCCTGACCTTGGCATATGTACGTATTTATCTCTCCAGCTCTCCAATAATCTGTCTCTTCCTCTATCCATCCACCCAGATCGCCTACAGTTTCCTCATATCTCCATTTCTCCATGCAGTCATCTGTCTCAGCATCTTCATGAACTCTCAGAGTTTCCATCTTGGTAACACCCCAGCTTCTCTGTGACTCTGGCCTCACCTCTGTGTTTGCCCCCTACCACCACCAGGTGAATGGTCTCCGAGTGGATCTCCCAGCTGAGGTGTTAACATCTGTGTCTGTGAGTCGAACACCAGATGGCTCCATAGTAGTACAGCAGGAAGCTGGAGTCCAGGTGACGCTTGGATCCAACGGGCAGCTGGCTGTAATGGTCAGCGATAAGCACAGTGGAGTACTGTGTGGGGCCTGTGGAAACTTTGATGGGGACCAGACCAATGATGGGCATGACTCCCCAGGGAAGATGGCGATGGAATTCTGGAGAGCACAGGACTTCTCCCCATGGTGAGAGATGTAGGATGGAAGCCTGGGTCCTCAGGGGAGGTGGGCTGTCAGAGTGGGTACTCAGTCTGCAAGAGGAGGTGCTAAATATCTGTCTCTTGCAGCCACAAGTAATCAGCCACCCACCAGGATCACAGATTTCGGGACCTGATCCCCTTGGAAGTTGCGGTGGTTGAAAGATGCAGTATTTGCCCTACACTGCTCTTCCCCTCTGCTGAGTCCATGAGGACAAATGCAAGAGCATTCAATAAATACCTATGTTAAGCTCCACCCAGATGTTTGTCTCATATCTTCTCAGATGGGTCCCTGACTTTTGTTTCCTGTCATACAGCAAGCGATGAGCTTGGGGAATCTGGCTCATGATGAATAGTTGTTGGGGGGTGTGAGGTGATGGATGGACAAAGAGATGGATTGGTGGATTGGGAGAAGGGTAGGCTGGGAAATATGAAGACAGGGATTTGCATCGGGATCCACCTGCTCACTGTCCAACTGGCCCTGAGGGAGACGGCTCATCCCACTAGCAAGCCATTACTCTGGGACCTCCTGACAGCACCGATCAAGGCGCAGTCTTCTTTCTCACTGCACTCTTCCCAACAGACTATGCCTTTGAACCACCAAAGATAGCTTTCACAGCAAAAATTTACCATCCAAACATAAACAGTAATGGAAGTATGTGTATTGATAGCCTGAGGTCACAGTGGCCACCAGCTCAGACTGTATCAAAAGTTTGATTATCCATATGTTCTCTACTTTTTGATCCTGATCCAGATGACCCCTTAGTACCAGAGAGTGGCCAAATCTATAAATCAGGCAAAGAAACTACAATGACATGCAAGAGAATGAACTCAGAAATATGCAATGTAAATTCAAAAAAAGTTTTTTTCATATGTACCAGTTGTTGTTAGGTGCCATTGAGTCAATTCTAACCCATAGCGACCCTGCATAGGGTTTCCAAGGAGAAACTTGTGAGCTTGAACCACCAGTGTGCCGTTCAAACAACTTTGCAGTCTGAGACATTAGCCCACAGCACCACACCAGGACTCTTATGTACCAGAGTATGGTCAAATCTAGGGTTCCTTTTTTTTCTCTCAATATTAGCAGTAAATTGAGCATTATGTACAGTTTCCGTGTACTATTAAACGCTTTGATTTTTACTCGTTTTAAATGTGTTTCTGAAGCAAGACAAAACAAACTTCATAAAACACCCATAAGACTGCATTTATCATTTTGTATGCATTAAGAAAGACATTTATTATGGGGGTTTTTAAGATATTTGAACATCTGCATCTTCAACTTGCAACATCTACAATGCAGCTGAAAAGCAACCAAATTATTTTTTGCTGAAATCAAGTGTTTTTACATGAAAAATACTGTATGTCATCAGTTTTATAAATCCGCCTTCAGATTTCATTTTTTGTTAGCTCACTTTATAATTCGCACCTTTTTTGCTGTATAGACAGAATACTTTCTATTTACCATGTGTGTCCACTCATTATTTTTTTCTCCTGTGAACAGTATTGAGGAAACTCAGCAGCTACTAATTAAATGAGTTAACTGTCTGTCTTCCTTGTCTGAAGATATTCTGTAGATTAATCAATGATTTCTTAAGCCTGAAATGATCTTTACACTGTAATTCTCAATATGCTGATTTTGGAGAAACACTTGTTTTAATTTTGGTTGACTTGACTTAGCTTTATTGCAATGTGAATTCATTGCACTGCTAAATAGGAAGATGTGTAACTTTTATCTGTTGCTGATCACGTTTGAACTTTTTTCTGTATAGGCAATATTATATTAACACCTTTTACAGATCTTAATGTAGCTTTTTCCATATAAGTAAAATGCTTTTTCTACTAAAAAAAAAAAACCCAAAAACCTAAAAAAACTAAAAAAAATAATGATAAAGAGCAGGCTTACTGGTCAGACAGAGACTGATGGAACTGAAGATGTACCTTTAGTCACCCATCAGACCTGGGACTGAACTCACCCCCTAGTTCAACTTTCAGCCAAGCTAGACTACAAGGTGAACAATAACACTAGGGAGGTACACATTTCAGAATAACCAACATTTTGATATCAAAAGAGCAGTATTTTCCTGAGAACAAAGTTCAAGGAGGAATGGAAATGGGCAATGCCAGGAGGAAGCGGGTTACGTGATGTTCCATTACAATCAATGACTTGAAACAAAATGTGTATGAATTATTTTATGGAGAACTGATGTGCTCTGTAAACCGTCACCCAATTCACAAAGAGTTCAAATAAAGTAAAAGTGAACAGAGACTCCAGGGACCTTTGAGACAACAGCAAAAGATCCAACATTCATATCACTGGAGTCCCAGAAAGAGAGAAAAAGGTGGGACTGAAAGAGTGTTCAGAGAAATAACCACTAAAAGCTTCCCCAAATTTTGTAAATTTAACCCCACCCACCCATACACACACATCAGCAAATCTAAAACAGCAGAGTGAACTCCAAACAGAAGAAATCCAACCACATCATTTGATGTTGTTAATGCTGTCGTGTCAATTCTAACTCATAGTGACTCTGTATCGGCTTACCAAAGAGCAACTGGTGGGTTTGAACCGCAGACCTTGTGGTCCACAGTCCAGTGCTGATCCTATAGTGCCACACTAGGAGTTCACTACATCACACGCACACTTAGATTTTGAAAACTAACACACAGAAAAAAAAATCTTGAAACCAGACATTCAGAAATTAAGCATTAGGGGACCAACCATTTGAATGACAGATTTCTTATCAGAAATAAAAAAGGAAACTAGGAGAAAGTGATATAATATATTTTCAAATGTTTAAATCAAAGAGCTGCAAACAATGTATTCTATACCTGGGGAAACTGTCCTTCAGGAATGAAGGAGCAGCAAAAACATTCTCAAATGAAAGAAAATGAAAAGAAGTTGTCCCTAGCAGATCTACCCTTAAAGATTGGCTAAGGAAAATTTCTCAAACAAAAGGGAAATGATAAAAGAATACTGGAGCATCAGGAAGGAAGAAGAAACAATTCCAAGAGCAGAAAAATTGGTACATACAATAGACTAGGAAGATAAAAGAATTCTAAATGTCTATGCACCAAACAACAATGATTCAAATACATGAAGCAAAACCTGACTAGAGTTGATACAAGAACAAGCAAGTTGTTCACTGGGAAGCCATCAAGGCAAGCAACCAAGCCCCTTCAGGACAACCCACCCCCCCAAGACTGAAACTCAAAGGGAATACATGAGCAGGCATGTAAGCTTGCTGGTGACCACATTGGTCTACTAGTGAGAGGAAGTAGGGGCGGGGGAAGCAGCAATGAGGAGGTGGGCTGAACCTGACCAAGTTACATAGACCCCCATCGACCTGGAGTATGGTGACAGCTGGCTGGCCTGAAGTACGGTGAGACCTGTACAAGGACATGGCCATGGAGGGCTAGAGCTGAGAGTGGAGCGTCCAACTGATACGAAGTGAGGGGATATGTACAAGGGCGCCCAAACTTGCAGATAGTGCCCATTGGACCTAGCTTCAATGGCTGAATGTTCAGAACCTGACTAGATGAAGGAAAAGTGGGGGCTTTTTTTTTTTTTTTTTTTTTTAAAGAAAACAAGTGTAAAACTCTACAGTCTGATGAGCTTGACCTATACTTATGGATATTTGTTGTTGTTGTTGTTAGGTGCCATTGAGTCAGTACTGACTCATAGTGACCTTATGCACAGCAGAAGGAAACACTGCCCAATCCTGGGCCAACTTCATTACTGTTGTCACGCTTGAGTCCATCGATGCTGCCACTTGGCCAATCCATCTCATTGGGAGTCTTCCTCTTTTTCTCTCACCCTCCACATTTATAAATTTCTCCTTACAATTTCCTTGACAATCTTATGAAAATATTACTCCAATAGTTTCTATCCCTCTTTCTTGTTGTAAATTCCTCCAAAGCACTTACCGTCTGCTAGACATGGAGTCTGGCGTTCTGGTGTGGAGCTGTGGGCTAATGCCCTCGACTGCAAAATCAGCTTGAACCACAAGGTCAGTGGTTCATGCTCACCAGCTGCTCCTGGGAAACCCTATACAGGGTCGCTATGAGCACTAACTTCACTTATCTATGCCAAAAAATGTGGAAGACAACTATCTGGCCAACTGATTGGGAGAGATCCATATTTGTGCCCATTCCAAAGAGAGGTGACCCAGTGGAATGAGGAAATCATCGAACAATATCTTTGATATCCCATGCGAGTAAAGTTTTACTAAAGGTAATACAGAAATGGCTACAAGCATACATTGACAGAGAACTTCCAGAGGTTCAAGCCGGATTCAAAAGAGGACTTGGAATAAGGGATATCATTGCTGACGTCAGATGGATCTCTGCTGAAAGCAGAGAATACCAGAAAGATGTTTGCCTGTGTTTTATTGACTATGCAAAGGCCTTCGATTGTGTGGATCATGACAAGCTATGGACAACATTGCAAAGTATGAGTATCCCGGAACACTTAACAGTGCTCATGAGAAACCTGTGCACCGATGGAGAGATAGGTGTTTAAACAGAACATGGGAACATCAAAAGGTTTAAAATTAGGAAAGGTGTGCGCCAGGGTTGTATTCTTTCACCATACTTATTCAACATGTATGCTGAGCAAATAATCCGAGAAGCTGGGTTATAATGAAGAAAAACGTGGCATCAGGATTGGAGGAAGACTCATTAACAACCTGCCGTATACAGATGATGCAACCTTGCTTGCTGAAAGTGAAGAGGACTTAAAATACTGATGAAGATCAAAGACCACAGCTTTCAGTATGGTTTGTATATCTCAGTGTAAAGAAAACAAAAATCCTCACCACTGGACCAATAAACAACATTCTTATCAATGGAGTAAAGACTGAAGTTGTCAAGGACTTTGTTCTTCTTGGATCAGCCATCAACACTCATGGAAGCAGCAGCCAAGAAATCAAAGGACATATTGCATTAGGCAAATCTGTTGCACAAGACCTTTTCAAAGTGTTGAAGAGCAAAGATGTCAGCTTGAGGACTAAGGTACACCTCATCCAAGCTATGGTATTTTCAATAACCTCACATGCATGTGAAAGTTGGACAGTAACTAAGGAAGATGGTAGAAAAATTGATGCATTTGAGTTACAGTGTTGGAGGAGAATATTGAAAGTACCATGGGCTGCCAACAGAACAAACAGATCTGTGCTGGAAAAGGTACAGTCAGAGTGCTCCTTGGAGGCCAGGATGGCCAGACTTAGTTTCTCATACTTCCAACATATTGTCAAGAAGGACCAGTCACTGGAGAGGGATATCATGTTCGGTAAGGTGGAGGGTCAGAGAAAAAGAGGAAGAACCCCAGAGAGATGGATTGGCAAAGTGACAGCATCAATGGGCTCAAGCGTGGCAACAATTGTGAGGTTTGCCCAGGAACGGACAGTGTTTCGTTCTGTTGTGCACAGGGTCTCTGTGGGTCGGTACAGACTCACCGCACCTAACAAGATGGGCACTAAACAACAATAACAGCTGTGAAGTCCAGGTGTAATACTGTAGGATAAGCACTTGACCTCAAGGTCGGTTTGAACCGCAAGGTTGGTGGTTCAAACTCACTAGCTGCTCCAATGAGTCGGAACCGAACTGACGGCATTTAACCACAACAGAACCATCCCTGGTATATACAAGGATCATAATAAATTGTTTTCGAGTATATGAATGGGAACTCAGCGCCGGCGCTGTTTTTGAGGGTGGAAATTGGTTAAGAAAGGCATTCTGGGTGTCGAGAGAAACCTTAGGGTGTTAGCTGTTGTTGTTACGTGCCGTCGAGTCGGTTCCGACCCATAGGGACCCTGTATAGGGCTTCCGAGGAGCGGCTGGTTAGCTTGAACTGCTGATCTTGCGGTTCAAACCGACTTTGCAGCCCAGAGCATTATAGAGGAAAGGAGACGACGGCACAGTAAGAACCCCATATTAAGGTATCAGCCAAACGGCGGGATGAAGCTTGTTTAGTGAAGTGATTACAAGCAAAGGCTTAGCGAGAGCAGTGAGGGCGCTGTCGCGAGAAGCCAGGGGAACGGCCGCCCAGTGCGCGCGCGCCGGGCTTCAAGCGTAGTCGAGGTTCGAGGGGGGCGGGACAGCGTGTTTGCGTCACGCACCGTCCGTCGTCCCGCGCCTGCGCTCCTTTCCACGTGCGAAAGCCGGAGACTCGTGGAGTCGGGGGTCGCCACAGACTTCGGAGTAGCGCAGTTCCGCGCTCATCATGAGGCCAGGTGTGTACTGAGGTTGGGGTAGGATTCAGGGGCTAGGGCTGGGCCAAAATCGGGGTGTCTGGCCGGATTGGGGGCGGGGCCTTGCCTTGGGACAGGAGTTTTGAACCTACAATCTGGTCTTGGGTTCTGGTTTCTCCTAGGATCGATTTGACCCTTAAGGGCAGGTTCTTGGGGGAGGCAGGAACGGGGTTCCTGAACGGGAATTTGCCTCAAACGAGCCATCTTTAGGCGTCCAAGATATTGGGCCGGGAGCGCTAAGTGACTCAGTTCGGTACCAGACATCCGAGATCTTAGTTCGCTCGAAGCTTGGTATGGCAGGCCTTTCGTTTGCCTTCCGTGTCACTGCCGCTACCTCTTGTCCCCCAACCCGGCTTCTCGGTGAGGACCGTGAGTAGAGGAGTGCTCTCGGCTCCGCTTGGTAGTTAGTGTACGGCTGGATCTGACTCACTTTGCCGCTCTCTTCGCGGGAGCGTGGGCCCGGGGATGGAGTGGAGATCGTGGGCCTGGTGAGTCCCAACTCCGCTGTGAGATAGAACTCAAGCTCAAGACTGGTGGGAGGGACAGGAACGGAATCTAATCACCGGGAATGAATGGTTTTATTCATACTCCTTTCCCGGAATTCTGACGAACCTACCCCGGGTTTCTCCCGATGGTATGGTGGGAGTCCTGGCTTTGACAGCAGACGGTATCAGCCCTGGCTCTGCTTCCTAATCTAGTTCTTAGTCTACTTGGCGTGACCTTGGGCTAGTGTGTTTATCTCACTAAGCCTCAGTTTCCCCATCAATAAAATGGCGCCATATACTATTAAGTGAGGAAAACCCACGCACAGCTGTCAAGTCAGTTCAATTCATAGTAACCCTGTAGGACAGAGTTGTGCTGCTCCGAGGGCTTCCGAGGCTGCAACTATTTAGGAGAGCAGCAGACGGCTTCTTCATTTCGCCTGTCGTCGGGTTCAGGCTGCCAACCTTTTCAGTTCGCGGTCCAGCGCTTCACCCACTGCGCCACCAGGCCTCCTTGATGAAATGAGACCATTTAAACTGAAATCGACATCTAATAGCTCAATGTTGGTGTATTGCTTTTCATTGTTATTCTCAAAGGGTACAAAATTAAGGTTTTTCCGGGTGTCTCCGGCTCTTGCTCCCCTCCCCTGAGGCCTCCTACCTCGCATCCTCTCCGCGCCCCTCACACCCTCCCCCCATGAGAGATTTTGTTTCGCTGGGTATGGGAAATCTGCCACGCTTGACCAAAAGGGCCTGTTTGTGTCTTCCTTTTGTTTTGTTTTTAGTTTTATTATGGAGTGAAAGTTTGCAGAGCAGATAACCAGTTTTACATGCAATAAATCATCTACTTTATTGCATGTAAAACTGGTTTCATTAAGATGGCTGCAATTCCCTTCATGTACCATCAGTAAACAGTAACAGTATTGACCTTCATTCATTGTAACTCTTGCATTTATGTGCCTTCAGCTACTTCATCTTTTCTCTGGCAACTTCCCTCTTGTATGTTGCCTTCCCTACTGCCCAAGTTAACATGTGTCTACCTTTATTAAGAACCCTGGTGTAGGTTTCCACTCATATCTACTTTATATACGGTTTCCATGGAGTCCTGGTGTGGCGCTGTGGGTTAATGCGCCAGACTGCATAGCCGTTTGAACTGCAAGGTTGGCGGTTCAAGCTCACCAGCGGCTCCTTAGAAACCCTATACAGGGTTGCTATGGGTTGGAATCGACTCGACAGCACTTAACAACAAGGGGCAACTGGTGGATTTGAACTGCTGGCCTTGTTGTTTGCAGTTCAGTGGTGACCCTACAGCACCACACCAGGAGTCCATCTTCTCTCTAGCCCATGAGTAATTTTCCCTTCCCTCCCACCCAGGGTAACCATCATAAAAGGTTTCTTTTATCAAGAAAACCTTTTAACAGCAGTGATATTATACAGTGTTTGTCCTTTTATGACTGACCCCTACGAGATGGGTTGACACGGTGGCAGCAGCAATGGGCTTAAACATAGCAACAATTATGAGGTTGGAGCAGAACCAGGCAGTGTTTCATTCTGTTGTTTATAGGGCCACTGTAGGTCAATACCAACTCAACGGCCCCTGACAACAATTTCACTCAGCATAATGCCCTCCACGTTTGAAACTACCAGCTGTTCTGCAGGAGAAAGAGGAGGCTTTCTGCTCCTGTAAAGATTTACAGCCTCGGAAACCCGGTACAGGGTCGCTGTGAGTCGGAACCGACTCCACGGTACATCACCACCACCACCACCAGTGTCCTCCAGGTTCGCCCATGCTGTGTGAGGGGTTTCACAGATTCATCGTTATGCACCTGCATTACATGGTTTTCCATTGTGGACTATTTGTTAAGCATATGTTTTCCTTTTTGGGGTGGAGGGGTGGAGATGGTGCCATCTGCGAAGGGGGTTGTGGGTCCATGGTCCCCTCCCGCGCTCCTTTTCACAGTGTTTGGGGATCTCCTGGTGAAGTGAGATGGGGCCTAGCTAGTCTAGGTACCTCTGATTCTGGCTTGCCTACAGGCATCTTGTCACATTAGATGGTGAGCACACTTTCTTCCCTATTGTGTAGTAGGACGTGAAGTTGTCAGGAGCTAGCACTTTAGTAAGAATTTTAGTCTGAGTGAGAGGGAAGCCTTTAGAAAACTTCATGCAGGAGCAAGATAGAGTCTGATTTGCTTTTATTAAGGGGATCTATCGGAGGAGTCATGGTGTGGCGCTGTGGGTTAATGTGTCAGACTGCAGTCATTTGAACTGCAAGGTTGGTAGTTCAAGCTCACCAGCTGCTCCTTGGAAACCCTATACAGGGTCGCTATGGGGTCGGAACTGACTCGACAGCCCTTAACAACAACAAAAAATCTTACTTCTAGGGGTCCTGATGTGGCGCTGTAGGATAAGCACTGGACTGCTAACCACAAGGTCGGCAATTCAAACCCACCAGCCACTCCTCGGAAACCCTATATAGCAGGGGCAGGGAATGTCCAGCTGGCCCGTGGGCTGTATTATTTTTAAAGACTATCAACTCGGTTTTGACTCATTGAGACCCTGTATAGGGTTTCCAAGCAACTGGTGGTTTTGAATTGCTGATCCTGTGTTTCGCAGTCCATTGCTGATCCTACAGCACCACACCAGGAGTCCATGGGCTGTATAAATTTTGGAATCCTTTGGTCTGGCCTTGCTAAGACAGACACAATTTCAGCCTTCACATTTGTGGTCGTCATTCATGAAGTACCTTCGAGTAAATGTTTGACCAGATGGAGCAGGCTAACTTTGAAGTTGATAATTTTGTATGGCCCTCAGAGATGTTGTAAATATCCAAATGACCCTTGGCAGAAAAAAGGGTCCCCACCTCTGCTATATAGGGGCGATAGGACTCAGAACTGACTCTCCGGCACTTAGCATTTTGCTTGTGTGGAAAGAGACATTAAGAGGGTCCAAGGAAACCTATACAGGTCACTATGGGTTGGAACTGACTCCATGACACTTAACAAGAGTAGAAGTAGGCCCCTCAGTGGGGAGGTTGTTGCTGTACTACCCCTGAAGGAGACCAGGGTGACTTGAATGAGAGTCGAGAGCGTTAGTGGGCGTGGAATGTATTTTGAAGGTAGAGCCAACAGATTGGGTGTTGGATGTGGGAAGAATTGAGGACAGCTAAGGGTTTGGGCCTGGATAGCTGAAAGGATGGAGTTGCTATCTGTAAAAATGGGGAAGGAGAGCTCATCTAAAATTAATGGGTCTATGGGATCCTCCCCACCCCCACACACACACCAAAAAAACCCCAATTTCCAGAAGCATGTGTACACATGAATTTTTCTGAAGTGTGGGTGCTTTCAGCACATTTTCCTAAGAGTTCCAGGATTGGAAATGAGTTAAGATTCACAGCTTCGTGTGCAAGCCCATGTTTCTCAGGTTCATCAAGCCTGGGTCAGGATCCAGGACTCACAGTAACTTCTCTGACTGTGTGTACTTTGCCTACTGTTCTGGGTCATTGAATGGGATGATGACCCCTGCCCACCTGCATGGGACACATGAGCTGTTGGAGGGGAAGGACAAGGGCTGTTCTGCCTACCATGCCATCATCCCCTGCTTTCTGAACGAGCAGACAGGGTGCTCTCTGTCCACGAGGAGTCCGTTTCTGTAACATAGATGGAGTCCCACTTTGTGCCAGGCATTGTGCAGGTAGAGGGGTCTAGAGGTCAGGGATGTATATAACCTTTAATCAGAGACCAAGCCCAAGCCATGCAGGTGTCTGCAGGAAGGAGGCAGCAAAGATGAAAAGGCACAGAATGAGCTGCCTTGGGCTTCTCCTGCTGAGGAGGGAAGGCTGTCTGGAGGAAGAGCATAGGGTCAAAGTTCTCAGGCCAATTAAATCTGAATCTCCAGGATGATTTCAGTGATTGCTCCAGAGTGAGAACCGCTGGTGGTCAGGGAAAGGAATGTGCGTTTCATATGGGATGGAAATGACGAGAGAGATTTGGGCTGCAGAGTGAGGCAATCTTCTTACTTGCTATTTTAAAAAAGATCAGTGTTTCTAGACAGCTATGTGGACAGTAGACTGTAGGGGACGTAGAAGATTAAAAAGTAAACTATCTTGTAGTTATCAAAGATTTTACAGTTTTCATCCTTAATTGCATTAAGATGCATGGAACATATTTATAAGGGTGTGAACATAATGCATTTTTACAAGAGGTTCCTTGTTTTTAAGTGCCATCCAGTCTGTGGCACCCTCATTATTGAATGGTGTTGATCAATGGAGATCGTTTTTAATGTTTACTGGAGTCCTGGTGTGGTGCTGTAGGATAAGCACTGGGCTGCTTACTGCAAGGTCTGCAGTTCAAACCCATTAGCCGCTCCTTGGAAACTACACAGGGTTGCTTTGAGTCAGAACCGACTTGATGGCACTTAACAACAACAACAATTGCCATATTAAGGAGCCCTAGTGGTACAGTGGATTTCTGTGATGGCTGCTAACCTCAGAGTCTGCAGTTCAAACCCGCCAGCTGCACCAGGGGAGAAAGATGAGGTTGACAGTCTTCAAACCCTGAAGGAGCAGTTTACTGTGTCCTGTGGGGTTGCTAGCTAGGAGTTGGAATCAACTCAGCTACAGTGGGGGTTTGAGTTGGTTTCCAAATAACCACACTATTGTTCTACAACTTATATGGTTCATGAGCTGTTGAAATGAAAAACTGTCTTTGAGGTTCCTCAGAGAAAGGTCCAAAACTGAATTTTTTGGCACCTGGACATTTCTGTTCAAACACTGTTTTATAGCTTATTTTCTGTAGTGTTGAAAATAAAGTTTCATTGAATTTTTCTTTTCATTTCAAGCTTTGTTGACAAGCCCTAACATGCGTCTAAGTCACTGTGTGTCCTTAGCCCCTTAAAGGACAGTTTTAACTTGTTTGCTTCCCTCCCCCAACCCAGAGTTGGGAGGGATTTCTGCAAACAGGGCGATGAGTTCAGTTTGGGCTTGGGGACTCTGCTGCCACAAGGCATGCAGGCAGTGTACCTCCTTCTTCAAGCAACCCCAAGACGAACCGCAGCTAGGCCCTCCCTGCCCTCTCCGAGATGGAGTGGTACAGTGGCTACAACAGTGGGCTCAAACCTAACAGCAGTTGGGAGGATGATGCCGGACCGGGCAGGGTTTGGTTCTGATTGGGAACCAACTTGACAGCACCGAAACCCAACATGGACTCCCTACGGCGTTAATGCGCTTGGCTGCAAGTCTAAAGAGTGGAGGTTTGAGTCCATTCACAAGTATTTGCAAAGAAAGCCTGGCAGTTGACTTCCAAACTATCAACTATTGAGAAGCCTGTGAGCACAGCTCAGTTCTGATAGTCCTGCGGTCACCCTGAGTCAGAATGTCTGTGTTCTCTTCCCTTCTCCTAAGCCCATAATACCTCCATCCCAATAATTAGCACCGTCATGAATTCCGTATTCATTGTTTCCTTCCCTCGTGTTTTGTTTTTATTTAGCACATACTTGTGTACACCAGCACTGCGTGGCACTGGTTCATTTCAGTTCCTTGGTAATTTAGTTGTAGTTCACCAAGTTCATTTTGGGAGCACAGTAACTGTGATACAGCACGGGACGGTGAACCACAAGGTTGGCAGTTCGAGCTCACCAGCTGCTCCTTGGGAGAAAGATGAAGCTTTCTGCTCCCATAAAGATGTACTGCCTCAGAAACCCTATATGGGGTCACTATGAGTCAGAATTGACTCCCAGTGGTACCTAATGAGAACAGACCGCAAGTTCATTTTAGAGCTCTGGTAGCATGGTGGTTAAGCACGGAAGGGCCAGTTCTTCCATTCCCCAGTAGAAAGACAAGAATGTCTACTTCCAACCTCGGAAACTCCATGCAGCAGTTCTGCTCTGTCCTTTAGGGTCACTGTGAGTCCGAGTCGGCTTGATGACGGCAGGTTCCCGTTCATTTTCATTGTTAGTGATCCTGTGTTGGATGTGGTTTTCTGGGACTTGGTTTTTGGTTTGTTTTTTTTCCCGTTAGACACGAGTGTAAAGTTTACCCTGCTGTGCATAGCTGTAGATCATGCTCCCACTGTTGGCTGTACTTAGCCCACATCTTGTTGAGCCATTCTACCAGTGGGTATTTGGGTTGGCCCAGTTTTTCTTCTGTGGATATTTCTGGGAGTCCTGGTGTGGCACCATAGAATAAGGACTGGACTACTACCACAAGGTCAGCGGTTCCAACCCACCAGCACTTCCTTGGAAACTCTATACAGGGTCACTGTGAGTCCGAGTCGACCGCACTTAACAACAATATGTACATATGAGAAGACTTTAAAAGTTCGTGGGAAAATGGAATGAAAAGACAATGGGGTTCTTTGCAGTCCCCTTGTAAACACCCATTTTCCTGGGGTCTCTTCTCAGTGGAATTCTAGGTATGGGATTTGTTAACTTTCAGCTACATCACCTGTTCCTTTTTTTTTAACCATAGGTTTCAGTCCCCGAGGGGGTGGCTTCAGAGGCCGAGGCGGGTTTGGCGACCGAGGTGGCTTTGGGGGTGACCGTGGTGGCCGCGGTGGCCGAGGAGGCTTTGGCGGAGGCTTTGGTGGAGGCCGAGGTCGAGGAGGTGGCGGCGGCTTCAGGGGCCGTGGTCGAGGAGGAGGACGAGGTGGTGAGTAAGGTTGGCTAGTGTGATGGCATTGCTTGTGCTCCAGGGAGCAGGGTGGGAAGAGACTGGGGGCCTCCCTCTCTCACTGTGTCTCTCTCCTATAGGTGGAGGAGGGTTCCAGTCTGGCAACCGGGGTCGTGGGAGGGGAGGAAAACGAGGAAACCCATCTGGGAAGAATGTGATGGTGGAACCTCATCGGCATGAGGGTGAGTGAAAAAGGAGGGGACTGGCTGATGGGTGGGGTGCAGCGTGGCCCCAGTCCTCACCTCCTTCTGATCCTGCACCCAGGTGTTTTCATTTGCCGCGGAAAGGAAGATGCGCTGGTCACCAAGAATCTGGTCCCTGGAGAATCGGTGTATGGAGAAAAGCGAGTCTCCATTTCGGTGAGATGTGGGGTCCTGCTGATGTAACCTGCAGTCGGGTCTCCCTGCTTCTATTTCACACTCACAAAGCCAGGTGTCTTGTTTGCATTGGAGGCCAGGGGCTATTCTTAATACATGAGTCAGGTGTTGTTAATACAAGTGCCTTCTGTGACTCTCCATTGCCATCCGGTTAGAGTCTGGAGTCGCCCTTTGGCCTTGTATGGTCTCATCTCCTCCCACCATCCCCTGACTGGGGAGGACCCTGTAACCAGCTGACCCTGCTGCTCCCTGGCCTGCAGTGCTCTTCCCACAGCTCTGGGTGAGGCTGCCTCTTACTGTTCACCTCTGGCCTGGTCACCTTGTCTTATTGATAGGGGCCTTACTGTCCCATGTCATTCCCTCTCCTGTCTGAGGGCTTCTCACCAGCTTCCCCCTTTCCTGAAATGGTTTTTCCCACCTCCTTCAGGGCTAACTCAGACATTTCCCACTCGGTTTGTCCTTGGCCAGGCCACTGTTTCTTGTTTTCACTCTTCCCTCACCCTATTTCCCACACTTCATGTCTACCTAGCTTTGTCCTTTCCGTACCACCTGTCACCATTGCACTGTGCCCTGTGTTTCAGGGATCTTTGTCATGTTCATGGTTTAATCCCTAGTGCCGGTTGGGGTCTGGCACATGGCACAGTAAATGTTTATTGAATGGTTTTGTAGACCTTAATGTTACCTGACACGGTCTTGTGTGTGTCTGTGTTTATGGCCTACGGCCATCCTCTCTTCCCTGAGTCATTAAATTCCACCGTCACATGTGGCATGGATGGCCAATGCCATGGACCCACACTCATCACTTGCACTGTAATTGAATGTCCAGTCCTTTTCAAGGTTCCAGGGTAAGGGGACTGGGATCTTGAAGAAGAGTCTAGCATGGATTCCCACTCCCGTCTCTCCTGGTCCAGGAGGGAGAGGACAAAATTGAGTACCGTGCCTGGAACCCTTTCCGCTCAAAGCTGGCAGCAGCGATCCTGGGTGGCGTGGACCAGATCCACATCAAGCCAGGGGCTAAGGTGCTCTACCTTGGAGCTGCCTCAGGCACCACTGTCTCCCACGTCTCTGACATTGTAGGCCAGGTAAGTGGGGAAAGGGGAGCATGAGAAATGAGTAACAGCAGCTGGTGGGGTGGGTGGAGGGACCCACACTACCACCGTGGAGTTAGGCATGACTGCTTCCCTGCACTGTGGCATAGTGCCGGGCACTGCATTCTGGAAGTGCCCATGGGTGGAAGAGGCTGCTTGAATTGGATGACCACCAGAGCCTCATTCTGCCCCACTCCTGGGTTCTTGGCCTTGCAAGGGGAAGGGGCCTGTGTGGTCAGGTGATCAGAGTTACAGGCTGCAGAGCTGGGAGTACAGATAGCAGTGAATTGGTTGCTGTCTTTGAAAGTTCATGCCCCCCAAATCAGAAACCTAGTTGGTTCTATCAGTGACTTCTCTTGAATTGTTTAGAATGGGAATTCTGATGTTGATGGGCCACTTTTCTGTGTGTTGAGACCCCCACCTGGAGGGCACATGTGCACCTGACAGCATGGCTCCTGCTCCACTACCTGGTTACGGATTGCGCAATGTGCTGATCTGCTTGCATGTTACATAGCCCTTGGACTTCAGTTTACCCACCTATAAAATGGACGTGACAACAACAGTCACTTGTCATACATGATAACAGTAGTCATTTAATGGTGGAGTTTGGTTTTGGAGATTTGCAGAAATGTTGCACCTAGTATATGGTTGGTAAATAGGAGCTCAGTACATGAGAACCTACTGTTACTGCTTGATTTGCTCTAGGATGGTCTAGTTTATGCAGTCGAGTTCTCCCATCGTTCTGGCCGTGACCTCATTAACCTGGCCAAGAAGAGGACCAACATAATCCCTGTCATTGAAGACGCAAGGCATCCGCACAAATACCGAATGCTCATCGGTGAGGCATCTGGAGAGGTCGGGGTGGGGTAGGAGCCAGGTAGTCTGCCGGAGACTGAGACCTGAATCGGATAAAGCTGGGTTAGTAGGCCTCTTTAAGTCCATGGGAATGACAAGGGAAGGTGAGATTGTAGGGATGGTGGCCTAGCTTCACGGTCTGGCACTTTCGCTCTCTGAAGGTCCCCATCTTGTCCTTCATCTTTTCTTCCCTCCTTCCCCCAAAACTTTTTATATGGGCCTGGCCCAGAGTGGCCCAATGTGAATATCAATGATTTAGTTTAAAAAACTCAGGAGCTTAATTGGGTATCTGCTTTTCTTGCTTTTAAGAGCCCATTTTCATTACACCACCTTTTTAGTGTTTTTGTGTTTCGTTTTGTATTTTTAATCACACTAGTGTGTAAAAACAGAACCTTTTCATTTCACTGGTTTTTTCTGTTTTGCTCCCCATACTACCATCATACCATACCCCATCCTGCAACTTGTTTTCAGTGACAATACTGCAGACACTTCTTGCTGTCAGTACTTACCTTTACTTGCTTGTTTTGATGACGTGTCTGTCTCCACCCCCAGACCCTGGAGCGACTCGAGGGCAGGGTCCGGGTCTGACTCGTCTCTGTGTCCCCCACACCCAGCCGGGGCTGGCCACAGAGTAGGTGGCAACTATGATTTACAAGAGTAGTCAATAAGTGATGTTGGCTGTGGGTTCTGGACCCACCTTGGGGTTGATAAGGGTTGTGGGGGAGGGCATTAGGGAGAGGGTGAGACTGGAGGCAGGGAAACTGCCCAAAACTTGCTAGTAATGGGAACAGGTCCCGTGGGGCAGCTGGGAAGCTCTCTGGTGGACTTGATTTTGAATAACTACCATTCCCCATCTCCCTAGCAATGGTGGACGTGATCTTTGCTGACGTGGCCCAGCCTGACCAGACGCGAATTGTGGCCCTGAATGCCCATACGTTCCTACGTAATGGAGGGCACTTTGTGATTTCTATTAAGGTAACAGCCTTATGGGAGTCTTAAGCTGGGTAGGGGAATCCCCAGGCGTATCTTACCTGTGTCTTGACAAGCAGCCAGTCCAATAGATTTCTTTCCAGTCTTTTTTAGGGTACAAGTAAGGACTGAATGTATCAGTCTGTGTGAAGTGCTTAGAAACAGAGCCTGGTATAGAATCAACACTAGATGAATCTAAATGCTAAGTGCATTTTAAGGAGCTCTGGTAGCATAGTGGATGCATATTGGGCTGCTAACCTCATGGTCAGTAGTTCAAAAATACCAGCTGTTCCTCAGAAGAAAGATGAGGCTTTCTGCTCCCGTAAAGATTTACAACCTCGGAAACCCTGAATGAGGTCACTGGTGTGGTGTGATGGTGGTACATCACACCACCACCACCAAGTGCATTCTAAGAAACTTTCTTTTGAAAGACTGAGAATTCTACGAGAGTTTGCTTTTTCCTACTTTTTGTCATTCCCGGCTGCATGATTACTCTTATTTTAAAAGAACAACAAAAGCCTGGATATAAAATGTAAAACTGTTGACTTGTAGATAAAATTTCCTAGTCCAAATTCAAACTAAGTAAGAGTTCAGTGTAACTTTATCCCACATTTTAAAAACCCTGCTGTAAACACAAAAAAGAAGAAATCCAAACCAGTTGTCATTGACCCCGACTTCCGACTGATGGTGACCGCACGTGTTTCAGAGTAGAACTGCACTCCATAGGTTCTCTGTGTTCAGTTCTGACCCATATGGTTTCCAAGGAGCATGATGGGTTTGAACCACTAACCTTGCAGTTCAAACAGATTTTGCAGTCCAGTGCTTTATTGCTGTTGTTGTTATGTGCCATGGACAGGGTTTCCGAGGCTGTAAATCTGTACTGGAGTGGAAAGCCTCGTCTTTCTCCCAGGGAACAGCTGGTAGTTTTGAAATGCTAACCCTGAGATTCGCAGCCAGATTTGTAACTACTGCTACCAGAGCTCCTTTTTATTGCTGTTGTTGTGAAGTGCTGTTGAGTTGGTTCCGACCCACAGCGACCCCATATAGGGTTTTTAAGGAGCAGTTGGTGGGCTTGAACCGCCGACCTTACACAACACAAAAGGGGGATAAGGGCCCTGAGGCTAGCTGCCGACTTGAATCCTGCCCTCCTGCAGGCCAACTGCATTGACTCCACGGCCTCAGCTGAGGCAGTATTTGCTTCTGAAGTGAAGAAGATGCAGCAGGAGAACATGAAGCCCCAGGAGCAGTTGACCCTGGAGCCATATGAAAGGGACCACGCTGTGGTGGTGGGTGTGTACAGGTGAGCGCAGAGCCCTGCCCGCTGCCCTTGATCTGTCTCACTACTTGTGGGGACAGGCTATGACTCCCCATCTCCTCTCTTCCTCTCAACAGGCCACCCCCCAAAGTGAAGAACTGAAGCCTAATGACGTCTGGATTGTGAGATTTTGTTGTTGCTGTTGCACGTGTGTTTTTCTATTAAAAGACTCATTCGGTCACTTCAGTCTGCTGTTGGTTGCTTTGCGGCTCCTGCTGTTGACAATTTGTGGCGCATGCGCCCTGGTCAACTTACGGAAGGCGTTGTAATGCTCATCTGATCACACTGCGCATGTTCCATTTCCAGCTGCCCACTTCTGGTTTGCAGCCGTAACCGGAATTCAGCTTTTAGGTGTGGCAGACGGGCCACTGCGCATGTCTGCAGGTAGTGCCCATAGCGCATGCGCACAGTGCTTCTCTGGGTCACGTGAAGGGGAGCGGATTGGGGGGGTGGGGGCGGAGTTCAGGGAAGGGGGGCCGGTTTGTTGTGGTCGCCATTTTGCTGGTTGCATTACTGGGTAATCGCGGCCCTGACTCGCTGCGTCCTCCGGATACCTTCCGCCAGTGGGCAGGTCTGAGCTCGGGCTTCCCGAGCAACCTGAGTCCCCTTGCCCGCGCCCTCAGGTAACAACGACGACGGGGTGGCGGGTGGAGTGGCACGAGTTGGCTGGGAGGGGGAAGGGCGAGACCCGCCCTGACTGCCCGTGTCGCCGCGAGACTGAGCACGAGGGAGGACGACACAGAGGAAAAGGAGGGGGAGGCGGGCAGGTGCGGGCAGTGCCTGGCTATTCATAGTCGGATTCCTGGAAGGGGCCGAACCCCTGGGAGCAGCCATGGGAGGGAAGTTGGGAAGGGGTAGCCAGGGCCCTGCTCCCGCCCTTTGTTTGGGCTCGGCTCCGCCGGCTGCATCGTCGTCGCCTAGCAACAACTGCCCTGAGTTCTGATTGGCTGGACTTTTGGCAACAGTGGCCAATGGTACGGTTGTTGCCATGGCAGGGTGCGGACTGCCAAACTCAGTCTTGCCCCGCCTGCCTGGTGTCCGCAGGCCAGGGCGGGCCTCTAGGGTGGGGGCAGGACGCGCCAGGTCCCTAGGGGGGTAGGGGGGGGAGGAGACGGGCGGACGCGTGGGGCGGGGCCGGTGAGGTGAGGGTTAACCCGCCCTTCCCCCCCTGTCCACCTGCTTTCCCTTCCCCCCTGCGTGCCCCGGGCTGACCCTCGTCCCTTCCTCTCCCCGCCCCTGGCGGCGGCTGCTGTTGTCACCCACCGGGCCGCCTGTCCCGCTTGCCCTCCCCGCCGCGGGGCCTGCCGGGCCGCCCGGGCCAGGGACAGGCGGCCGCCTCCTCACTGCCACCACCACCGCCGCCATGCTGGCCGTCCGCCCGCCCCACTGGGGGCCCCATCGCGCTCCAGCCCCCCGTGGGTCACGCGCCAGTCCTGACCCGGGTAGGGGTTGGAGGGTGGGAGAGACAGTCGTGGTGTTGGAGGGCCCTGGGAAAGAAGTTGTTTGGAGGGGGAACTGTCCGGGAGGGAGTCTTCAAGAGAGCAGGGGTTGTCGTGGAGTAGCAAGGCCTGAGATAGGAGAAAAGCATCTGACATGGTTAGACCTTGGGAGAGGGACTCGGGTGTGTGGGACCCTGGGGGACTCCCTGTTTGGGGACTTTGGAGATAGGGACCGCCTAAGAATGTGCACCATTGTGGGATGACCCTAACGTACAGCGAGGTTACTGAGAAGGGGTCTGTCTGGTGAGAATATGGGAGAGGGGGATTCATTGTCAGGGACAGAAGGAAGATCATTGTAAGCCAGGGTAAAGAGTGGGCTTTGATGGGGAAGGGGGAGTTAAGGGGGGAGAGTTCTGAGGTGGTGTGGAAGAACTGGGATGTGGTATAGGGAGACCACCTGGACCAATGTTTCTGGGCTTGGGGGCGCTTGACAGAGGGAAACAGTCTTGGCAGAAATAGGGTCTGCTGAGAAAGGGGTGTCTGGTGATCTGCCATGGAGGAGGACGCTTTGGGATTAGAGTACCCCAGATAACCTTGGTGTAGTCAAGAGAACCTCAGCGGGCCCTGGTGTGGATTTGAGGGTTCTGCAAAGAACAGGGCTGTGATTTGGAGATCTTGGGACTCAGGATCTCAGGATCTCAGGTGTGGTTTAGGAGGACCTTCGTGTTCTCTGGATTGGGGGAGTTGCAGGGAAGGGTCGATTAGTAGTGAACAGTGAAGGAAGGCTTGGTGATATGGAATGAGATTCTCATGTGCAAGGAAGACTACAGAGGGGCAGGGTCTGGTGATGGGGACCCTGGAGAAGGCCCCAAGTAGAAATGGGAAGAATGACCCCTGCTCCCCTTACTGTCTCTTCTGTCTTCTCTTTGCCTATTAGTGGTTTCTTGTCTTCCTTCCCCCTGCTGCCGACCTGTTCTTGCACTGCTTCCCATGGTTTTGTTTTCTGTGTCCTTGTCATTCATTATCCCACCTCATTCATTTCTGTGGTGGTCATTTGTTCATGACCTCTGTTGTACCACCCACTTTTCACGTGCCTACTCCTTTTTGTCCTTTCTCTTCATTGCCACCTGCTGCTCTGCACCCATTTCTTCATCCCTCAGTGCTATCTTACTGATGTCTACCTCTTTTTTTGTTTGGCCCTGTCCCACACATCCCCTTGTTAAATGTTGTTTCTCCTGCCTGCTATCAGGTCTCAGCGGCGGTGGCAGCCGAGGTGCAGGATGCGAGAAGGCGCCCCCCGGCCGGGCTCCCGCTCCAGGCCTCACTCCCCTGCGGCCCTCTGAGCCCACCATGGCCGTCCCACCAGGCCATGGTCCCTTCTCTGGCTTCCCAGGGCCCCAGGAGCACCCACAGGTATGCATTTGGCTGGTTCCTCACATGCCTGGGGTCAGAAGATGCTGGGGAGAAAAGAGTCTCAGGGCAATGTAAAAGGCATTGGGATTTAAAAATCTCAGTCCAGATCTCCACTGATAGTCAAATTTATTTCCATTCCCTAAGTTTCCATTTTCTTATCTGTAAAATGGGGCTGATACAGATAGGTGCTTCACAGGAGTTTTGAGGATTTCACAAATTAAAGGACTATACTGAGAAAAAAATCCTGAGTGAAAGAACCCAAGGGAGTGGGTGGAGAGGAGGGCAGAGGCTGAAGGTTTGGGGACCTTCGGCAGTGGGGGGTATAGGCTAAAGGTCTCCCAGGGAGTTGAGGCTCTAGAACATAGAGCTTGAGCAGGACAGGGGATATCCAGGATTCAGATTCAAGAATCTTGGGGTGAAAGCTAGACACAGATGCTCAGTGGGTAGATGAAAGGCCCCAAGGGATGAAAGTAAAGCAAAATGTGGGTAAAAGAGGATCTAGAGGTGGGATATCCAGATATAGGGACTCCGATCGAAGGACTGGTGGACAGAGGCCAGAATTCCTCTAAGACCTGTCCCACTGATTCAAAAAGCAATGTAGTTATGGGGTGAAAGGTCAGGGGTAAATATTTCATTCACTTCACAAATCTCCCATGGTGTGCCAAGCCCTGCTCAAAGCACTGTGGTTACAGGAAGAATAAGAATTTATATTCTAGTTGGGGGGGAGAGGGGACACTGATCAGATCAATTTGTGATTGTTTGAGGCCAGCCACCCATCTAGTTCTCCCCCTGGAGGTCAGAAATGAAGGACTTCCCCTGTTCTCAGTACCCACCCAACACCCTACTCACAGGTATTGCCTGATGTGCGGCTACTGCCTCGGAGGCTGCCCCTGGCCTTCCGGGACGCGACCTCGGCCCCACTGCGCAAACTCTCTGTGGACCTTATCAAGACCTACAAGCACATCAACGAGGTAGGCAGAGATGTTGGCCCCCAGGCAGGGAGCCGGGGAGGTCCTGGCCATGGGTAGAGGTGGCGCCCTGATTCTCATCTTCTGGTCACCTGACTGGACAGGTATACTATGCGAAGAAGAAGCGGCGGGCCCAACAGGTTCCGCCCCAGGACTCGAGCACCAAGAAGGAGAAGAAGGTCCTGAACCACGGTTATGATGATGACAACCATGACTACATTGTGCGCAGCGGCGAGCGCTGGCTCGAGCGCTATGAGATTGACTCCCTCATTGGCAAGGGCTCTTTCGGCCAGGTGCGGGACGCCCACCCCCACCCCAGGGATTGGCACATGGGTGGGTACCTGATGATGTGGATCCACATACTCATTGGCAAGGGCTCTTTCAGCCAAATGTGGGACAGCCGCCCCCACCCCAGGGACTGGCACATGGTTACCTGCTGACGTGGATCCATATACTGCTGGGGACCAGTCACTGCATTTCCATGTGCCTCAGTTTCCTTTCCTATAAACCAGTGCAGATAACTGACCTCACTACTTCAAGTAGTTGTGAATTTCACCTCAAGTGGGTTTATACCATGCCTGACCCGATAGTAAGCACTCACATGTGAATTCGCATTTATTTTAGTGTTACTGGTGGGTCTCCTTGGAGGGAGCAGAGTGGCCCGTCCCTTTCCCCACCTTGTGACATGGCCTGCCCCAGCAGGTTGTGAAAGCCTATGACCATCAGACCCAGGAACTGGTGGCCATCAAAATCATCAAGAACAAAAAGGCCTTCCTGACCCAGGCCCAGATCGAGCTTCGGCTGCTGGAACTGATGAACCAGCACGACACGGAGATGAAGTACTACATAGGTGAGGCCCCCATGAGGGCCTGCCCCCGGGGCTGGTGTGGGTCTGTGCTGCTGATTCCTGTCACCTGCTGCTAGCCTGATTTTCCACTTCACCTTCATGTGCTAATAATGGTCAAAGTTCACTGTGTGTTCACTTAGGGCCAGGCTCTGTTGTAAGGTCTTTACAAAAAGGGGAGGGACAGTTGTGGGTCACATTTTGGCAAGGAAGAAACTGAAGAATCCGAGGGGGGGGGGGGGGGCTGTCAGGTAGCATTTGACCAGGCAGTCCTCTCTGGAGCTTTTACTCCTCAAGTCTCTGCATCTGGTTTTCCTCCCGCCCTGATGCACTTCTCTGAGAGAAAAAAAAGCAAGTGGATTTTAAAATTGTGTATTTCTTCTCAAAGGAAGTGTTCGTTTGTCCTTGCAGTAAAGAGACACTCAGTAACCCTTGCCACAACCTCGAATACCACTGAGACTAAAACAATGCTATAAAATTAACGAGCAAGTGTAGGGTGGCCTTAAGACCTAC